TGAAGAAGCTCAGCACAGTGCACAGGCTCTGTAGCACCGGCGAGGATCCTGCAATACTTTGGATAAATTTTAAACTCCAAATTTGGTCCGGGCAGCACCGTTAGGCTACTCTTTTTGATTTCCAACTGCCAAGAGATTTTTTACATGTGCAGCATTGCACATGGAGGCCAGGGGGAATTACTAGAAGTCCAAGTCCACGTGAAAAAATCCCAGTCCTTACCGGGGATTGAATCCGTAACCTCTAGCACTCGAGGCGGACACCATGCCTCGAGACCACGCAGCCCCCTAGATGCGTGCAAGATTGGAGCTCTGATTACATCTAACTTGGCATGCATTATTTCATCACCCAGTGGTGCGGAACAAGCCAATGTGTCTACCCTTTCACATCTCAACACACCTGTATAAACATCCTAAGGATGCTAGCTACAGGCGGCCTCTGAAGCGATGCCTGTCTTAGCATGTTTTGTAAGTCGATTAAAAGCACAACACTGGTGTGAACCTGGCTCTAAAGTCAGCGGAAAACTGCCCCTACCTCCATTCTCAAACTAGATGTTGCAGTACATATGCTAGCCTTTGTTGCACCCAACATTGTCCCTTCATTTTCGCAACAAACCACTATCATCATCAAGTGCCCAGCTGACTGTCGTGGCGATCTTGCTTCTCCAATCAGTTCGTGTGCTGACACCCGTTCATGACAAAAGACTGTCAAGTATCTTTTCATGCTGTCTTCCCCTGTCTCTCTTTCCAAAATGTTTAATTTTCCCTCTTGTGTACATGACCACACACAAACAAAGTATGACCGTCTCCTTCTGTTTGTGACAAGTTGTCTTTGTGATAAAAGGTAAAGGTAAAGTCGGGAGATGTGAACCAGCGTCATTGCACACGGTTATAAACCATAAGTGCTCTGCCACCAGTACGGACAGCTGATAATAATTGTCTGCCTGTGTCGCCGTTCGCACGTAACTCTGTAGCTACAGCGACGTTCCTCCTTTTAATCCCAGAGTGTCAACTCTGGTACCCATTTCCTAGAGGCTGGGTGAACCCCGGGAGCCGCCCGGTTTTTAACACCGACCGTGGGCTGCAGCTGGATTCCTATCGACTGCGAACTCACCTCCTTCAAAACATCTGGGTTGCTCTTCTTTGCTGTCCAAGGAATTCTTTTGAAAAACAACATCTCCTAGGCCTAAAGATATTTCTCGGTTTAATTTACCAGGCGTCACTGCCATGTGTTAAAGCTGGTTGCGTATCATTTACAGGACGTTGCAGAACCAACCCTAGCAGCCCCTGGCTGTTGTGTTGTTTATCTAGACAAATTTACGTCCAGTAGTTTGCCACTGCTGCCTGGACGGTCGGCTTTCTTGATACCTCTGTTGAAACCAACGCAAGGCGCATGGCCGCAGCGGGGATCGAACCTGGCATCCCGAAGCGTTCGCATCAACTTGGTCACAGAACCGAAACCGTATGTTAAAACTGGCTCTATTTTATGCAAGAATTCTTTTTCTAACCTACAATGACATGGATTTATAACACAAAATGTTAATTTTGTAAAATGCAGTTCTGGTCTGTCCTGCCATTCTTTATCTCTGTGACACATCTTCCATCCGCCTGTGTTTCACCGGGGCCCTCACGGGAAGCAAAGAATAGTGACACTGCACCCTACCAGGCATGTCGTAAGAGGCGACTAAGGGTAGGGTTGGGCGTGAGGTTGGCTACCTCATCCTGTAAAAACCATAGCCACAAAAACCAACCAACCATGGATAAGTCAAAAAGAGAAGCAAATAAACTCCAGCCAACCAAGATGAGGGGAGGCTCTTCAAATAGAAGAAGTATGACACGGTGTGAAGAAAGCCGTAAGGAGTCCGGATCGTTGACTTACCTCCTCTCAGCTAGGAAAACCTCCAGAATTGGCACCTGGAATACATGGAGAAGAGAGCTGGAGAATGAGGTTAGAAAGATTGGGAGGACATGGGGAGAGCTCCATGTAATGGCGAAGGATAGAACGACTTGGCGTGAGTTGGTTGAGGGCCTATGCTCCATTGGGGGATAAAAAGGCAGAAGAAGAAGAAGAAGACATCTTCCATCGATGTTATCCACGTGTCTAGATACTGAAATTTATATCATCATCATCATGTGCCATGTCGACTGGCGTGAGCGATCATGACTCTCAATAATACACGATCTCCTGCAGCATGTATTAGTTCGCGTGCCGACACACCTCCATGCCATGCAACAAGACTGCCAAGAATCTTTTCTGTCTTCCTCTATCCCTCCTTCCACAGATCTTTCCAGTGGTCACAACATGTTCTATTTTCCCTCTTTCATGGCTGAAAAATGATGACTATTCTTCTGATGTCTGTGATTAGTTGTCTTCGGGCTCCCGCCTTTTTCAAACCTCTTGGTTGCTCTTTTTTGGCTGTCAGAGGTATTCTAAGCATTCTTCTGTAAAACCACATCTCTGAGGCCTCAAGAAATTGTTTGGCCTGCCTACCGATTGTCCAGGATTCACAGCCATATGTTAAAACTGAATGTGTGTAGCAAGCAATTTCAATACTTGTCCTAAAATAACGCTTTTGACTTTTATTATACATTTTGTCACTATTCTTTTCTTGGAAATCAGCATTTTTTTTTATCTTTCTGTTATTCAAACCGAGGCCCATTTTATCACTTTCTACCGTAGTTTAGCGACTAGATGCTCGCCTGCAGATCGGAATGTCGTAGGTTCGCGTCCAGACTTCTTGCAAAAATTACCTTGGCTCCCAGCCTTGAGTGGGCACCAGGTGCACTTCTGGTAAGTAAAGGCGGTCAGCGTAATGCTGACCATATCACAGTTTGGTCTATAAATATAAGTCTAGTCCTATATACCCAGTAAGACTGAAGAGGGAAAGGGTCTTTCTCTTTGTTCTTTCTGACTTGTCCTATCAAGACATCAACATAAGGCAGTGTGTTCATGTTATGACCACAATTCCTGGCATATCTATGATAAGATCCTATTATATAACGCACACAAATCAAGCGATAGTACACCATCCTTGTCTTACCCCCCCCCCCTCTTTATGCTCCGAAATGGTCCCCAACTGGTTAATTCTTATAACTGCTGCTTGCTGCCAATAAATGTTCTTAATACATCTGTTCTACATCACGTGCACTTATCAGAACAAAGCTATTTATACAGATGAGTGGTCAGCAAACTCTTCAATCAAAAGAGCCAAAAATCAACAATGGGACGATGTTTTTCTAGTAAAAACCGATTTGTGGCCGACCAGACTCAGGTCAACCACTGGTAGAGACAATTACTTCTGTTCAAATCCTGAGCCAGCAGTGCCTGCTATGCGACCCCAATCCTAAACATGCATGATTTTTGCTCTGATCCACTCTCCTCTCCCAATTTAAGGCGCTAGCGAAGATTGTCAAACTGCAAATGTTTTAGAAAGGGAAGAGCTCCTGCTAAGGCATGGGCACTTACAGGTTGCACCTATAATAGTCAGGTATGATATTTGCATGCATAGAGAATGAGGTCTGTCATTTGCTGGAGAACTGGGTAGCAGCTGTCCTACATTCAGGTATGGTTGCCCTCCGCCTTGGAACATGGACTTCAGAACCATGCAATATCAACACGGTTCTGTAATATGTACACAAGACTGCATCCTTGGTTGGAGAGATGCCATCTGCAGTAAGATAGAAAGGCAACAGACAGCCTAAGAGCTACATGCAGCTGTGACTGACTGACGTGTGCAGAAATGGGCACTGTCAACAAACCAGAAAAGACAGCTGTTTTATTGTGCTCTGTAAACATAAGGATTGTGTTATGATGTCCTAAGCCTCACAATTTAATGATAGAAACATAAAAGGAGAAAACGAAATGACCTAGCTGGGTATTACTTTCGACAGAAGAGACTGTCCTTTGGGGATAATGTGAAGACCGTTTACAACAAAAGGAACTTAATGAGTTCATTTTTTGTCAACAATCAACATGGAAGAAAGAATACTGCACACAATCTTCTAGCATGTGACCGAGTCGGCGACAGCATATGAGCAGTTTGAGATGTTAGAAGTGGCCCTTGCTGTTGACAACTGTTCATGGCCAGCATTCATTTCCGGTAGAAACACGATATTCAACTGACCAGACATATTCAACTGACCAGAGGTGGATTTCTCTGAGACACTTCAGGCAACCAAGACTTATTTATTTAATAGAAACACCTAGAGCAGGAGGCAAACTACTAGACATCACCAAATCCTGTGTAAATGGCAGGTATGATATGGCTAATGTGCTCTCCAACACAACTGCTAACAAGGTTTTCATCTCTACTAACTCAGCCACCCTCCACCTATCGCTGGTCCAAACTTCACCATTTTGTGCCTTTTTAACATCACCACTTGCAAGTTACAAAAATGCTTTACATTGTGACAATAATAAAAACAAACAATGCGCTGAAGACCTATCAAAACGTTTAATAAGCACATGCATTTGGTTCAAGAAAACAATTTCAACGCCAAAAAAATAACTTACTCTCGTACACTGTATGTGAAAGATCTAACTTGCCGTTTTGTCTTCTGAACATGTGAAAATACTAAAGAAAATCTAACAATCACTAAAAATATGTTAAAATTGCATAGTTGAAAACACTAGCCTCCGACTATGTAACTCGTTTCATGTGCTGTCAGAGTAAAGAAAAAAATCGTCTCATTGCTGTAGGATTTTATATTCTGTCACTGTGGTGTTGTGAACCTATTTATGGAGTCGTACTTCTAGAACATGTTTTGATTAAGCAGTTGTAATTACAATTAGGAAGAGTAATTAGATTTCAGACAGATAAAACAAAAAGAGCCAGCCCTGTTGCCCAGATGATTACCAACCACAAGGTAGGTGTTTGAATCCTGCACGGTTGTTTTCAATCGAGTCACTGGGTTGTCTCACAGACATGAATGGACACACATGAGGAAAAAAGTTTAGTCATTAGTTGGACGAGTTGTTAGCTTGTTATAATCAGTCCAGTTCTTCAGTCATCCTTGCTCTCGACGGTGGTAGAAGAGGGTTCGGACTTCACATTGTCATTGCTGGAATCAGCTTTAGGTGTCAAGTTGTCACCAGCACCCCTCCTCTGTGGTGAAAATAAAGAGACCATTAGAAGGCATAATACAATTCTAAACAGAAATGACACATCGATGGATGATGAGGAAGAAGAAATACCATGTATAAATTCTAAGACAAATTCATCTTAAATGAAATATGAAGTGAGCAGATCAGAAATCATATCTGGACACTCCCTGTGGCGAGGAGGGAAATAGACCTAACAAGTAAATTATGAAAATCCGACTAATTTTGGATGCTATCCTTCAGTGCAACTGCCTAAAAGGCGAGAAACCAATTGTTCTGCATGTAAATAAGCCAGATCTGTATAGCAGATGTTTGGGAACAAGACTGATGCCCAGAAGTGGATGAATAACTCGAACATTTCGCAGAAGCTACAATACTGGGTAATGAAATTGGGCGAGACGTCACTGTGCGATATACCAACCTCACAAAAGTAACTGGATTTTGAAGAAAATGTGGAAAGAAATGACAACAGTTCTCGCCTCAAATTCATGATAAAACAACTTTGCCTGATGGTGTTTCCAATGTTTTTCTTCTTCTTTGACTTATGCACATACACATAAATTTTTACATCTTTTAAAAACCTGAATTCAAATTTACATTACTAAAGAGATTTACAGAAATAAAAAGCAAAGAGACAGGGACTATACACAAATACAAGGGTCGTAAATATATATACGAAAAACGTACTAAAAACATTCAGCATGCACAACAAATGTTCCCTTTTCCTGATATTTGTGCACTAATGCAAAAGTACTTTAAAGAAAACACCTACAATTAGTTAACTTTTATAGCAGGTCTGCTAGGGAGGCAGCGGGTCTATTCTCCCCCCCCCCCCCACCTGAAATGGTGCCCTATAACCTTTTTATGTGATTTAGGGCCTCCAAGCAATGGTTGTCTCAGGGTCGCCATGAGCTTTGTCAATGGGGTTCAGGAGACAGCTGCTGCAGAATTATAACACTGCGGACACCAATCAACATCCACAGAAGTCTACAAAAGTAGCACTCAAGCCTACAAGTTAAATATTTGGCCATTTAACTAAGACTTCAGAACAGATGCAAGGCAAAATAACTGCTCAAAAAGAATGTTAGTGTTTAAAAAAGAAATGTTTTAGAAATATTTTTAAAAACAATTAGAAAAATTTCATGTTTCTTACCCCCCTGCCTCTGCGAAAGCCGCCACGACCCCGTCGAGGGGCACCCCTAGAAGGCCCTCCTTGGTAGCCATAATAACCTTCATAGTAGCCTCCTCTGGTGGGAGGTGGGCCGTAGTAGCGACGGTAGAATGGACGACGACCTCTAAAACCTGGATCTCGCTGCAGTGGGTACTCTCCTTGGTCCTGCTATTAGACATTGAATTCAACTTATCAGAAAATGTGCAGTAATATTAGAAAGCACACTGAATGAAAATTGGAAGAGACTGAACAAAAAGAAAAAAACATGATTTGAGTGAGAACTTAACGCACTAAGTATACACAAGATGTAATAACCTTGGAGCAATTGCTTATTCAGTGCCTTTTAGCCGAACACATCTGATTCCAACACATTTCTTAATTAGCACATTTTTCTACACAACATAACCCTTGACCTGTAAATGTTGTGGAGGCGTATCAATGCAAGCACTAGCACATAAAGCCCACCATCTTTGTCTTCCACTTTATAAATAAGTGTAAGATAACTTAGTCATGTCCACTTCTTGATGGTGTCATTCTATATTCAACTTTGCACCTCCTCTTCTTCGACTACCCCCCTCCCCAATGTTTCTTGAAACAAAGTCTTTGGAATCAAATCATGCCTCACCACGTGCCCAAACGAAGCTAGCTTGTGATGTTTTACCTCTGCCTAGAGAGGCTCCTGAAGTCCTGCAAATTTGTTTTGGCGTTCTAAATCTTCATTAAATGCTGCTGTAGCATTTACATTCAAAAGCATGAATCTGTATAAGTCCATAGACACCAGTGATGTATATAGACTGACCTAAACTGTGCTGCTGATTGTGCCCTTCCACATCATTCGTCGTATCAAGATATATATTTTTGACATGCTAGTTAGGGGCAGAGGTCTATGCTTTTTCGCTCCACGATGGGCTCGTCGAACCCACACAAGTAAACACTTCTGTTTTCCTAATGCAATCTTTAAAAGATCCTGCACTTAGCATGCATGTTTCTAATCTTCCTCTTGATGACTGACTGCCATATACATCATCTTTCTAAAGGGGCGGCTAGCATTTCAGGCCAAAACACCTGATTTCAGTCAATCCTGAATTAATAATCATTTACAACATATCTGAGAAGCAGTGGGTCTATTCGCTGCTGCCCCCAAAAATAGTGCCCTGGAATCAGAAAGCAATTTGTATATGTGAAATCAAACTACTACTTGATTATTATGACTGAAGCTATGTGTTTTTTTTTTTTAAATAAACGATAAAGGTCTACACTGATCAGCACATACTTCATTAGCTCTTTCTGCTCAATGGATGTAAACTCCATCAAGAAAGTTCCGAAGTTCGTCCAGTTCTAAAGTTGAGTTTTGTTTGCACGAGTGTTACAGATATGGCTTATTTGTGGGCAGGCTGGCCCCTCAGATCACGCTAGCTTTGAAAGACAACACCCTTAATTAGTCACCTCTTATGACATGCTTGTTAAGGGGGAGGGGAGTCCCCGTCTCCCAATAGGTCCCTGAAACCTAAGTGCGACTACACTAGCTACACCACACTGGACAATTTCCGAGGCACAAGTACATTATATAAAGCTGAATTTACAACATGGCAAACACAAATTGTTATTTTACCTCCAAATACTGTCTGCTGCCACCACGGCGAGGTGGTCCATAATATCGTTGGTTCTGATAGAAAGGTCTGCCCCGTCCCCTGCCTCTTGGACTAGGGTAATCCTCTAGGGCACCCTCATCTTCCTCGAAGCTCTGTAGAAGATAACAAAAGTGTCAACTGTAATCATAACTGCAATGAAATCAAATTAGACTAACCTTCTTCCCTTACATTCACTGGCTACAAACTCCAAAAGTAGTTGCTTGTCCACTTCTGAACATTTCGGCCAAGGTTTGCATGCACATGCTTTTACAAATCTGGCTTTTTTTTCCTCTCAGACAGATTCACTCTGCCCTCAGAAGTGGCCACAACTAGTTGACTCTTATGACATGCATGCTAGGGGCAACAGGCCTATCCCTCCCCTTCACAATAGGACCACAGAACCCACACTTGGAAAACTAAAAAAAAAAAAGGATCTGTTATCCTGGCTAACTCAAGTGAAACAATCTCCTACAAAGGAGTTGGATGTTTCGACCAAAAGCTTCAAATATCGCAGCTATGCTCTAAACAGACACGCCCACTGCATTAATGTTACTCAGGTGAACAATAAAGAAGAAGAAAATCAGAACATGTTTGTAATGAATATTTTGCAGCTTTCTATGTTATAGTAAAAAAACTATATTCTATAATATTCTGAAGACTGGAAATGACTGTATCTGCTGACATTACCAATCTTCCTAACAATATTCGTGACATTGCTGATATATCTTTTGTTGCAGTATACAAGCCTTTTTAAACACAATGTAACATAAGCCATTCTAAACACAGGCTATTCTGAAATAAATATAATCCAAGCATTAGTTGAAAAGTAAACACTCAGCTGACAGATTAAGGCATAACAGGCTGTAGGTATCACGTCACATGATAGTCAAAGATCAGGTGGCAGTTAATTGTAGGACTGACTGTGTGCTGCTGCCCTGGTAAGACAGCTGGTAGACACTTTTAGTATTAGCTCAGATGACACCAGTACGGATGGGGTCTGGATGAAACCATTTGGGAGGAAAAGACCTTAGATGAAACCATTTGGGAGGAAACAGATCTTAGATGAAACCATTTGGGAGGAAACAGACCTTAGATGAAACCATTTGGGGGGAAACAGACCTTAGATGAAACCATTTGGGAGGAAACAGATCTTAGATGAAACCATTTGGTAGAAACAGACCTTAGATGAAACCATTTGGGGGGAAACAGACCTTAGATGAAACCATTTGGGTGGAAACAGACCTTAGATAAAACTATTTGGGGGGAAACAGACCTTAGATAAAACCATTTGGGGGGAAACAGACCTTAGATGAAACCATTTGGGTGGAAACAGACCTTAGATGAAACCAGCATTTGGGAGGAAACAGACCTTAGATGAAACCAATTGGGTGAAAACAGACCTTAGATGAAACCAGCATGTGGGAAAACAGACCTTAGATGAAACCAGCATGTGGGAAAACAGACTAGTGATAAAACCAGGATAGAGTAAAATGACTTGGATGAGGTCGATTCCTCCCCACCAAATATATGGTTGACACATTCCGTTTCTGGGGAGAGCTTTTGTCAAGTTTGCTCTCTAGACAGTTGCAGTCCCCCGCTGACAAGATTGTCTTCCATAGTGGACCGCCGCGATCAAAATATTGCGAAGGCAGCATGGTGGAGGCTGCCAAAACTATCAGTCATTATCCGGCCCCGACACAGCACAACCACAATACACGCTGCTCCCACAAAAAAACACATAGTATCCTGCGTTGGAAATGCACACAAAGTAGCAGTCCATGATCACGAAACATAATAATCCGAGAGAACTGACAGCCAGCGAAAATAAACATAGCTGCTATCCGCCATTTTGAAAACGTAAGAAAATCGGATGAGGTCTTATGACACCAGTGTTTTCCCAGACATTTTTTCCCTCCTCTTAAATTCATTTCTACACGAAAAATTGGCAGCCAGGACAAAAAACCGAATAAAAGCGCACAAGCCTAAACCATCTAACTAAGGAATTTGGAAAGTCATTCTCTTCACTACTTAACCAACAATGTACACCTGAAGAGCTATCTTTTGATCTCTGGGACTCAGAATTATTGACACTCAATGTTACAACATCCATCCCGAACCTGGGAAACAAAGATGCTGAGCCCGCTTTAGTGAAGAAAGCACACACAATGGAACACAACAACATGTTCCCACAGGACAGCTGGACAAGAATCTACACTGATGGATCAGCAAAAGAGGCAACTACGAATGGTGGGGCAGGTGTTTACATAAAACACCCAGATGCCACTACTGTGTCCCTAGCAGCCCCCACCAGACGAACTTTCTCTAACTACAAGGCAGAGCTCTCAGCCCTTTTGATGGCAGCGCAGTATATGAACAATCTGCAAATTACCGCAGGCAGGATAGTTTTTCTGACTGACTCACTGTCAGCTATCTATACAGGCCCTAGAGTCCAAACCCACCGACAGCACACTACAAAGTCTAACACAGGAACTTGCTATGTTGTCAAATAAGGCAGAAATTCACTTGCAGTGGATTCCGTCTCACTGTGGCATCAAAGGCAATGAAAGCGCAGATGCTTTAGCCAAGGATGGCAGTAACAAACCACAGACCTACCAGCCACTATCTTTTCTAGAAGTCAAAACTCTCATTAAGAGAAAATTAGAAACAGATTGGAAAACCAACACTGGTTATAACTACGGAAAAGATTTTCTGAAACACTTGAACAGAACAGACCAAGTCACAGTTTTTCGCTTACGCACTGGACACTGCAGACTCAATAAACACTCCCATAAATTAGGTATGAGCCAAACAGCTCTCTGCCAGTGCCTTCGTGCTGAACAGACTCCAGAACATGTCCTGCAAGACTGTCCTCTCCTGACGGAGCTGCGGAGCGACATATGGCAACACCCAGTAGAACTGACAACTAAGCTTTGGGGAAACCCAAGAGACCTTGAAAAGACATCCCAGTTTATGACCCACAGTGGATTATGCGCATGACCAGAGATCGCTAAAGAAGAAGAAATTCATTTCACTTCAAAACTTGCCTCCGGAATTTGTTTTAAAATACTTTCAACTTTAAAAATTCAAACAGAAAAAAAAGCATATCAATCTGGTTTAATGTATAAGCATATTTAAATGAACTGCCTGCACTTTACCTGTCTAGGTCTGCCACCTCGCCCGGTCCCACGATATGGTGGATACCAACCACCTCTCCTGAATCTACGACGGTCAGCAGCATACTTGCTGCCTTGAACATTTGCACCGTCCGGTCCTGTCACATTGGCAGCTTCGTTGCCCTGTTTGAAGATATACAAAAAGCAAGCTTAGATATGTCAAGATGGGGTGGTAAGTGGATGTTTATTTTTCGGTGAGTCTTACATCAACATCCATTTTCAAAATCTAGCTTAAGTGTGTGCAGACCGTTGGTACCTTGTCTCTCAGGCAGATCTGCTGCGGTTATGAAGAAAACCCTAATCAGCTTACTCCTACTATGTGCTTGAAAGGTAGGCACTGGGTCTATGAAACAGATGTGCAAGAGACAACTCAGGTTCTAGACTACAGCAGTGAATACAAAAGAGTACTTACTAGAGCAGCACATTTCTACATAAGCACAGCTACAGTGCATAAAATGTTAAAATGAGCAATTCCTGAGCATACAGACACAATCTGGTCACCAACTCATAAAGGGTGTTCCATACTTCTCGGCGGTGGCGGAAGTCCGCAATTTACATGTGGCTGAGACCCTGTTAGGGTATATTTTCGGCCTAGATAATTTGAGACCGTTATTCGGAAGATAGCCCAAGAAGCTTCTATACTTTTGTCTGTTATCTCCATTACAAGATTATGATCCAGAACCATTATATGGGCATTTTATACTTTTGAGCTTCAGTTAAATTTAAAGAGGTGGTGCACTTCTGATCATAACCAGCTTCATTTAAAAGACAATCACCAGTTATCTAGGGAGCTGCTGTCGTGTAGCAGGTTCTAGTCCGGACAGTACCTGACTCCTTTTGTCCAAGAATGACCTCGACTCCCAGGTCGAACCTGCCTTGAATGGGTTCAAGGTACAGTCCATCATACCACCAAGTAGGATGGGTCTATAAAATATAGTTAGCCCTATATGCCCAAGTGTGGAAAATGGTCCTTGGTCCTTACCAATTATGAAGTTTTTAAAAAGACCAGAAGCCACTTTTAATGAACTAGACAAATCTGCTTTCTAATTTATAGACTTATGCAATGTTTTATTTATAAACATGAATTAATATTCACTGCATACAAAGTGAACTAGAAACTAAATATATTTTAGGAAGACAAAGTATTTACCTTCTCTCCTTCAACAACGTCAAACTCAACTTTTTCACCATCTCCAACACTACGTAGATATTTTCTTGGGTTGTTCTTCACAATGGCCGTTTGGTGAACAAAAACATCTTCCTTTGTGTCGTCGCTGTGGAAATGGAAAGAACATTACAACGGGCAATACACTCCCATGGGCGATGTGTGACCAGTGGTTCCTGTAAAAATTCCCAGCCCTATACTGGACCTCCAAGCTAGCAAGGCCCACCTGAGATCTAGTTAGGACAACTCTCAGTCTATACCATGACGTCTGGACAACTCTCAGTCTATACCATGACATCCTAGACTGACAACTCTCAGTCTATACCATGACGTCCTGGACTGACAACTCTCAGTCTATACCATGACGTCCTGGACTGACAACTCTTCAGTCTATACCATGACATCTTGGACAACTCTCAGTCTATACCATGACATCCTGGACAACTCTCAGTCTATACCATGACGTCTTGGACAACTCTCAGTCTATACCATGACATCCTGGACTGACAACTCTCAGTCTATGCCATGACATCCTGGACAACTCTCAGTCTATACCATGACATCCTGGACAACTCTCAGTCTATACCATGACGTCCTGGACTGACAACTCTTCAGTCTATACCATGACGTCTTGGACAACTCTGTCTAAACCATGACATCCTGGACAACTCTCAGTCTATACCATGACATCCTGGACAATCAGTCTATACCATGACGTCTTGGACAACTCTCAGTCTATACCATGACGTCCTGGACTGACAACTCTCAGTCTATGCCATGACATCCTGGACAACTCTCAGTCTATACCATGACGTCCTGGTGCATGAGGGCTGGTTGAAGGCCTATTATCCCCTGAGAGATAAAACTTCCTGGCAGATGAAAAACAATGGCATACTACTGTGCATATAAGACTTGTGCAATACAAAGTGAAGCAGTCCACAAGCTAGGTAAGGTAGGACAACTGGTATTCTGTCTTACCAGAGAATTCTAATACATTTTAGAAGGATGGATGTGTTTTAAAGACTAGTTTTTGTAAGAACAAGAACCGACATGTAGGAATAAAACTAGTGCGATAAGCCAGTATTACTGTTAACAAGCAGATATTTCAATTAAACCAACCTAACAGCCAGGCCTAAATGTGGAAATGGAAGTTTTTTTCTTCTTAAATAACTTGGCCTTCAGCTCAACTCAGCCTAAAATAAGCAAAGTGGTGTTTTGCTGGGTTATTTGAATTATTTGTGTTTTCCTGCTCCAGTGTGGTGTTCTGTTGTGATATTTGAATTATCTGCAGGCTCTAGTCTACCGTGTATTCTGATAATCTTCAGGTACATTGCTCCCCCACTAACCCATCAAAGTGTTTGTTTTGGAGATTTAAGGATCTTCTTTATACTCTATTACAGCTGTTAAAGTAATTTCTTTAAGGCTGTTTCTAAATTTAGCAAATCTATTCTTGTTTTACTCTATTTTTAATAAGGACACTGTAGTTATGTCGTAGTAAGTAAGGAGTTTATGTTCGACACTAATATCACTAAGTTGGTTATGTTGTAAGTAAGGGTTTATGTTTGACACTGATACGACAATGTTGGTTATGTTGTAGTAAGAGTTTATGTTTGACACTGATATGACAAAGTTGGTTATGTTGTAAGGGTTTGTTTGACACTGATATAACAAAGTTGGTTTGGGCACACACAGATGGAATTTAGAAGTCTGGTATTTAGTATTTACTTAATGTACAATATGCTGCAAGCACATTATTATTATTATAGCCTGTTACTAGCTGACACAAGTCAGACACCAACCCTTGGAGAAGGAATCCATAAGAACGACCTAGTGCACTAGCCTACATCACATGACACCCCCCTCCCTCCCAGTGATCCTGCCCAGCCAGCCATACCAGTCTCCTCAATCTGATCACAATAACCTGTAAAAAGGTAACTGGTAGGTCAAATAAGCAATGGATGATTCGATCATACAAAAGAAGGGACATGCTTCTTCAAGAACACGATCTTTTAATGAAGTCACGTGGTGGCTAACGGTTGCGAACAAAGAAAGAAGGTGCGTGAAACTATGAGTCACGACCACACAACACAACAGCCAGCATGGAGTCAAGTCACACACCTTCCTTCGCACGACACTTACCGGTTGATAAATCCATAACCGCTCTTCACGTTAAACCATTTTACCGTCCCTGTAACGCGGGTTGCTGTGGACAGAACAAAAAACAACCATTTGACAAATAAATATGCCAAATTTTCTGCAAAAATCACAAACCTAGTCGTTCAGATTCAACAATGTCTCCCGGTGAAGATTATGGAAAGGGGTGGGTGGACTCTCGAAAACCCTCAAACGACAAGAACAGGCCACAAACTTTTAGCAAATTTCTAAATAACGGTTTTACCTACCGATAACTTTCTTTTCCTTTTGTTCTACTTTTTGTTCAGGCGCCGGCGTATTTTCAACCTCAGACTGATTTTCCGTGTCGGCCATGGCAGATGGTAAATGCCGTCAGTTGGTACAAACTAAAGAAGCCCCTACTTTGTTTCACGATCTTGCCCTGACCATGTCCTCTCTCACAATGAGCCAGAATCCGGCCTCCTCGCCTCGCTCCCTTCCTTGCTAGCAACCCATTGGTTGAGCCTTGGTGACGTCACGGCCTAGCGATCGTTTCATTGGTGGGATCCGGTCAGGTTACTCTAAAAATTCTTCTGTGGCTGGATAGAGACGCCACTGAAAACGAAAAATGTCCTAACCGTCTGCTAAGACTATGACATTACAAATTTTACTAAATGGGAACAGAAGGCAAAAGGTCGAATAAGAAAGAAATGGGTAAAGGGATTAAAAGAGACTCTACAGCAACGAAATATGGCATTACCACAAGCTACACAACCGACAGAAAACTGCACCTAACTCCTCTCTGCGACGCTCACGGCATAAGCAGTAAAAAGGAAAAAGACCAACATGTTCATGAAATAATCTTTTCTTCTTCTTCTTCTTCTTCTTCTTCTTCTTCTTCTTCTTCTTCTTCTTCTTCTTCTTCTTCTTCTTCTTCTTCTTCTTCTCCTTCTTGTTCTTCTTAGCGTTTACCAACTGTGAACTGCGGCGTAAGGTTTTGCTCGTTTGTCCAATTCTGGACTTTGGTTTAATTGCAGAACTTGAGTTTGGCGTGTCTCTCGAGCAGATGCACCCCATCAACTCCAAAGGAAACAAACCTAATTAATCGTCTTTTACGACATGTTTGTTAGGAGGCAGTGGGTCAATTCTTATTTTCCCAAAAATGGGACACCGAAACCCACGTAGGACTGAAATAATGGAATCAGTATATGATATATAAGTCATTGCATGGCTAACATCAATTAGTATTAATGAGTATATTAGAATCGGTCAGTTAGAATGGCACACATTTCCTAACCGCTATTACCATCTAAAAACATGACATTGCAGATTTCACTAAAATGTTCACGAAATAATTAAATATCAAATAAACGTGAGCCATTGCATGGCTAACTTATCAATAGCAATTTAACAGATATTCTAGCTCGATGAAAACTTGTATCTCCACTATAGACTCTGGCCGACGCTCAACACTCAGGGGAAGGTTGAGACGGATATACAATCAGTCGGTTACTGGTACAATCGGAATTGGAACTGAGCACTTATGGGAGTGTTCCGAGTGCTGTGATGTCGATTTTTAATTCAACATTCTTCTTCTTCTTCTTCTTTTGTCAAAATCTGCTTGTGCCGCTAGGCGTCGCAGTCTATCAGATGATCGGCAACCGAGCCAGGGCGCGCTCAGTCGCTTCATATGCCGTGATGTTATGAAGTCTCAAGTTGTCCGTGACTCCTTCAATCCATCTTCTTCTTGGTCTTCCCCTGCCTCTTGGTTTTTCGATTTTCATGTTGTATGCTCTTGATGCTGGCATCGTTGGTTCCATTCTCATTAGGTGACCAAACCATTTCATTCTTTGCTTCTCAATAAATTTAACGATGGGTATGGTTCCAATAGTTCTTGTAATCACATCGTTTCTCACTCGATCTCTTCTGGTTTTATTCGCAGCCATTCTCAAACATCTCATTTCACAGGTGGTTAGTCTTCTCTCGTGTTCTTTTGTTAATGTCCAAGTCTGACATTGATAACCTAATGTCGGTATAAAGATTGTATTTATAATTTGTCTTTTTATCTCAGATGGGACAGCAGGGTGTTTTAAAATTGGGGCAAACTGGTATGCGACATTGTTGGCTTGTTGGGTTCTTGCTTCGATCTCTCTGTCTATTTTACCATTGAATGTAAAGATACTTCCCAAGTATTTAAATTCTTGCACTTGTTTTAGGCTGTGATCTAGAATCTTCTTTATGTCGATGGTCTGTTGCTCTTTACTTATGCTCATGACTTCTGTCTTTTCAGTATTGATCTTCATATGATGCTTGAGGCAACTGTCGTGTAGTAGGTTTATGTGGTCTTGCAGCTGTTTACTATCACTGTGAATTAGGCATTGATCGTCGGCAAAGAGCAGATTGAAGTCCTCCTGTTTATCGACATCTGTTGGTGTTATGTCTAAATTATTAATATTGTCCATAAATATTATGAAAAGTAAAGGTGATAATACACAACCTTGTCTTACTCCTGATGTTACTGGGAACCAGTCTGTGATGCCAGCTCTTGTTCTAATGGCGCTTTCACTTTGTCTATAGATTTCTAACCTCGTCAAAGACAAGGAATGACAAAAACCAGTGCTAGGACTACCCATCAAGCATTTAAAAAGGGTAGGAAAATAATAGGGAAGAGAAGAAAAAGGGTACGAAAAAACTGAAGTCACCTTTACAAAATCAATTACAAGGAAAACCAAAGGATGTTGTACCGATAAGCCTTCACGGGCAAACAAAGACAACATAGCACACGTATACATATATATATATCTGTGAATCGACTGCATTTGAATTTTATGTACGCGAGTATGAAATTATATATATATATATATATATATATATATATATATATATATATATATATATATATATATATATATATATATATATATATATATATATATATATATACTTGATCCATCAAGCAGTGGATCCCAAATTGTCCACCCCCCACCTCATCAGGGTGGCTTAACGGCAAAATGTAAACTTATGATGATGATGACAGACTCTGTATAGAGTTGCTTAAAGTGCAATTATATCTGTCCAGTTAAAAAAAAACAATCACATTCTAATATGTGCTTTCATGGGCGCCAATATACGCTAGTGAATGAGTCGGCTAGCATAACACCTAGAACGACAATAAAAGCAACCGTAAACGAAAATTGATCCCAACTGCCTACAACTGCTAAAACCGTTAAACATTAACAACAGACAAACCACCATTTGCTGGCTGAATTATACATTAATTAAAGGTTAAAGTTGAGAGGATCGACCCCTTTGCATCGGGTTTGATCTCATGACCCTGCCTCTCTCCGCAAAACGGTTAGCCACCTACCGAGAGCGACACACAAAGCACGAAACTAGCTCCGGAGACGATCCCCAAGGATCTCCGTAAAAATGTAATTATGAACCGAACGGCACCGCCGTAAAACAAATCCACTACCTTCAGAACTCGAGAGAAACTGCTTGACCACTTTGCCACGGATGCACTAGTATCACCTGCCAGTATGTGTGTTCACACGCACAATAAACGATAGTGAACTTAGTATGCTAGAATGGGTCGGCTAGAGTGACAGAAATGGTCATAGAAAAATCCTGACATTATTTTCATGAAATATTAAAAGTTAAGCACCAACAAGGAGATCAAAATTAGAATTTTAAGAGCATGCATCTTCCCTGAGGCTACATACGGGTGTTAGTCGTGGACTATCTCTCAGTCCTTAAAAAGGAGAACAGGGACTTTTGAGCTGAAATGCTATAGCAAGATTCTCAGAATATCTTGGACAAAGAAGAGGAGAAATATTGACATATTAATCGATCTGAACATCAAGGAAGATTGGCTTATAAACAGCATCCTTTCTCGGAAGCTGAAATATTTTGGTCATATCAAGCGCCACAACGGATTGGAAAAAATTATAGCAGAAGGCTTGGTACCAGGAAGGAGGGGCAGGGTCCGACCGACACGAAGATAGGCACAGGATATAAGTGACTCCTTGAGTATGAAAGTACATGAGTTCATTTTTTTAGGCAGACTGATGAGAGCGACGATTTGCAAAGGACCTGCAACATGATGATGATGATTATTAAAATAAGCATAAGCAGTAAAAAAAAGGGGGGGGGGGGGGGGGGACCGCACAATTGCCTATTTGATGAAAAAGATGTTCTGGCTAAATTAAGGCTTTTGTCTCCATTGAGCGTGTATTGATTTACTTAAAGTGCATTATACCAGTCCAGTTAAAAGTGATATAAAAAAAAAAAAGTCATTAAAAAAAAAAAATACCAGTCGAAATATGTTTTCACAATTCCTCATCAACCTATAATTTCACTGTGTGGGTTCTGGGTTCCCATTGTAAGAAACATAAATAATAGACCCCTAAAGCATGTTGTAAAAATCAACTAATTATGAGTGATTAGTGATTAGAAAGGATTATCATCACAGCACTCCGGACAGATCGATGGGTGCTCCGATCTCCTCCTCAAAAGCTCCACAAGTGTAAAACGACTGATGACGCCTGTGCTGTGTTGGTTAATGCAACGTCTTGTCCCCTTAGGGAAATTAGTGACTAATTATGGATGTTTTGTTCAAAGTCGGAGTGCATCTGCCTGAGTGGCAAGGAACCGGCAGTATGCATACAAATAAGCCAGATCTGTAAAATGGATGTGCACGCAAAACACAAGTTCTGGATAAGACAAAAGTCCAGGAATGGAAGAACAACCATAACTTTCCTACGGAGTTGGTTTTGTAACGTTCGTTAAAGTTGATAACGGCAACCGTTACGATAGTTTTAGCTGGCTGCGGTCGGTCAGACCAGGGCTTCTCACGTTTTTTAAATCTTTCACTTGTGGCATATTTTATCCTACGAATATTCTACAAAAGCCATATATGCCAAGAATTTATGTGAAGGTAATTATGCTAATTTGTTTAATGCATTTAACAAAGCGAATTTCAAGTCTCAACATTATCAAAAAGTGCCCTGCCGACTGGCGTGGGCGATCACGCATCTCCACAAGCTAAAATTTTGAACAACAGGTTCATGTCCACAATTAGTCGACTCTTACGACATGCTTGTTGGTGAGGCAGTGGTTCCATTCTTGTCTTCTCTACAGTGGGGCCACAGACCTATGCGGGACAGAATGCATAAGTAATTTTTATTACTGTTTCAAATTAAGCTTTATTCACATCCTTTTGGTGGGGGATAGTGTGGGAATTGTAATTATGACAGAAATTGTAGTACAGTTTGTACTAAACGAATATTTAGATCAGCGGTTCTCCGGTGGGTCGAACAACACTTTCACGGGGATCGTCTAAGACCATCGGAAAACGCATATTCGTTGAAGTTATAAAGAAAAATAATTGTTTGTGGGTCGCCACAACATGAGGGAGCTGGATTAAAGAGTCGCGGTATTAGGTAAGGCTGAGAGCCACTGATTTATATAATCCAACTAATATTGTGTCAAAACGGGGTCGCGACTCCACTGCTTTGAGAAGCCCTGGACTAGGCAGCGTCTTCCACCGATGTCAACAATCCACATCTGACTTGTAGCAAAGTGAAACTTCGTAGTGAAAGTGACTCTTGGATGTCGGAATAGTTGTTTTAAAGATCAGATTGTTTTATTAGGTAAATAATAATTAATAATTATTTAAGTGTGCCGTTATTTATTGCAGTAGTTTTAATTTAATTTGTTTGTCTCAACTCTTGCTTTGCTCTCACTGAATACCCCAATACTCAAAAGTAAAACTAAAACTTAGTACTTAGTAAGAGTTTCCTACTTATTTAATTATGTAAGTAATTATTAATAATATACTAGCATATTTGAAATGTGTCGTTGGAGTTCAAGACAAAACATAGTTACAGTGAATATGAATACAATGAGTGAACAATCAGTTTGATTGAAATAACGGCTCTCCTTTAAACAACGGTCGCTAGCTGGAAAGCCGACGGTCGCTTAGTAGTAGGAGTTCACTCCCTTGGTTGCAGTGCAAATACGGAGTGGTAAAGAGGGAACGAAACAAATGATATAGTTACCTGTCATCCTAGGGTTAGGGTTTGGGTTAGGATTTTGATTAGGGTTAGGGGTAGGGTTAGGGTTAGGGGTACGGTTAGGGGTAGGGGTACGGTTAGGGGTAGGGTGTAGGGTAGGGGTAGGGGTACGGTTAGGGGTAGGGTTAGGGGTAGGGTTAGGGGCGTGGTCTAGCTCTAGCAGACATGTCGACCTCACTTTCTTTTTTGATTCGTGACTTGTCCGCTCCATATTTGCACTGCAGCCAAGGGAGTGAACTCCAACTAAGCGACCATCGGCTTTCCAACTAGCGACCGTTATTTAAAGGAGAGCCGAAATATCTTCATTGTAACATTTAGGCTCTCTATCCACTATTTTATCAATTTTAATGATACAATGTTAGATCTAAGATTATCTAAATTTCGTATTACAATTTCTGTCTTAACTCTTTCAGGCCCATGAATTTTGACAGACTTGGCCCACATTAATTTCCCTTTACAAAAATGGCAGAGGGGTGGGTGTACAAGAAAGGCTGTAGAGACTGTAATATACTTCTAATCCCTATAACAGTATATATTTTTTAAACGAGAAATGAGTGTACATTCTGAATCTGATGATAAGTGTTTGTTTAATTTTGTTATAGTTAGTGGAAAAGAAGAATTCAGCAAGTGTTAATTTCACAAGGACAACATTTCACAAAATAATTCTTCACTTACCATGGTTTTGCAGTCAAAAGAATAGTAAATATCCAAATTTGAGAACAAAACTTCAAAGTTTGTTCAATTTTCTAACATATTCTAAAGTTATGATAACTTTCTGGGTTAGTTTATTACTCAGGTGCTCTTAGTTCCCACCGAGTGCTAAGCAAAATTTCAGAGAAAAAATGGCAGAAAAATGAGCCATAACACACACACTATTTACTATTCACTTTGTACAGTTATTTACAGACTGTAGCTGCGATGATTTCAATGTAGCTTAGCCATAGTATAGTACTATCTCTTTGTTTAGAGCACTATCCTTCTCTTACACCATAAATACGGTAGTATGGGACATTGTCTGTGCAATAAACTCGTCAGAATCGCTAGATTCCGAACAGCTGATCGCTCAGCTTCACTGGTGAAAATTCACTGTCTGAATCACTTTCCGAAAAATCTAAATTTTTTTAATCATTTTCACAATTAAAAACATCTGACTGAAACAATTTCAGAGCTTCGGCCGCAGAAAGACGCATTCTGCGACCTGTTCTTGTGGTTAGAACATTGGTATTCAGTGCACTCAAAAACGAACTTAGAAAATAAACTGTAAAAAAAAATTGATGTTTTTTTTCTCTCAAATTATCCACGTGTGTTTTAGTCCAAGAAGTGAAACTAAAAGGATTTCGGTAGAGTGACTTTCCCTGAATAGGTTATTCGTACCTCCAAACATTAGAAACTAGTACGAACGCGCATGCGAAGCAAAATGTAAGAGATACACGATTAACGATGACACTGTTGTTTGGGCAGAACGGAACTTCTCAAACTACGCTCAGACCGTTGTTTGGGCCTTAAAGAGTTAAATCACACCCAAGACAGTTGTAAGCAAAGTCCTTTTGGGAACAAGCCACAGAATTATTAGAGAAACAAGATTATTATGGCCTGGAGAGAATGATATACCTGGGTGTAAGCAGAGGGTCTGGCCGGCTCACTACACTCAGAGGAAAGGCAAGACGGACATATAACCAGATTGTGACCGGTACCATCAGTATTGGAACTCTGCGCTGGCTGCTGAGGATGAAGACAGAGCACACGTGGGAATGCCCCGAGTGCTGTTATGTCAATTCTTGACTCGACTCAACTCGACTAAAAATATTTGGTCAGATTTCTTTTGCATACCCTGTCCAAACTTGCAATAAATAACGCAGCATGTTTTGCATTGATGCACACATATATTAGCTACGCACACTTGGTGTGTTGTTTAGGATAGAAAGAGTTAAGACATCTTATTTCAATTTTTCTCATGATACCTGTTATAAATTGTTGGGCTTGGAGAAAAGGGATAATAGCAGCACAAAGTAGAAGGAGTTTAAGTGACAACTGATAAGAGTGGGTTCATGTAGCATGTGGGTGGGACACATGAAGTTGAGAAATGTTCGTCATGTCAGTAGGAACTAACTCGGACAGAGTGGGTTCATGTAGCATGTGGGTGGGACACATGAAGTTGAGAAATGTCCGTCGTGTCAGTAGGAACTAACTTGGACAGAGTGGGTTCGTGTGGCATGTGGGTGAGACACATGGAGTTGAGAAATATCTGTCCTGTCAGTAGGAACTAACTGGGACAGAGTGGGTTCGTGTGAAACGTGGGTGAGACACATGGGGTTTAGAAATGTCTGTTGTGTCAGTAGGAACTAACTGGGACAGAGTGGTTTCGTGTGGCATGTGATCGGAACACATGGAGTTGAGAAATGTTAGTTCATGAAATCTCAGTCGGTGTCTGTGGTTTAGGCATTGTGATCCGCGCTTTATAATTCCAGAGTGTTGGGTTTAACCCCAGCTGCGGGTGATTTGGCAGCAGACTGCTTTCATTGCTTTCAACATTGGTATCAAAAGCCAACCATCTGAAAAGCAGTGAATGTAAAATTGCCTAGTGAAATCACAAACAGTAACAAAATGCTGGGGTTGGTTCTGCAACGTACTGTAAAGGTTACACAACTAACTATACAACTTTTGATAAAATGTTTGCTTGTATTGGTGTTCACTGTCTCCATAGAATTGCTATTATGGGACAGCTGACATCAAGACAAGAGATAGTCAACTTGGAAACAACCAACCCACAAATGCGTAACTGGTTGTGCGCCAGCATCGCTATCAGAGAAACGTCCAAAGTCCTTGCTGTACATGTGCATAGAAAAATCTCTCAGATTCATAAAATGATGCGAAGATCTGTTGGCTCACTGCCGGCCTGTCAGCAAAACTGCAGTCAGTTTAGCGGGGACCCTAACAAGCCTTGGTGTAGGACATGTGACAGGTAACATGATGTGCTGCTCTTGTGTACCATGTATTTATTTATATTTAAGATGTATGACACCCCTGTGTAGTTATTTAGTTTATCCCCCTTCTTCTCACTATTGGTATTAGCCAGGTTTTTGTTCTGGTGGTATGCGTACCGGCACCATTTTCAGCACTACTTCTTCTTCTTTGTTTGTTAACCGTCTGTAAGCTCCGGTGGAAAGTCCTGGCTGTTCGTCCATTTGGACTTTGGCTTTGTGCCAGGGCCTGAGTTTTAAGTGCACATCCGTTTTTACTGGATTATTTGTGTGCATTTGGTTGTTCCTTGCCTTTTGGGCATATGCCATCTGACTTACAAGGAAGCCCCCCATATGGTCTCGAACGCCCACGGGGAGGTTTTTCTACTGACTTCTCTACCCTTGTGTTCTGAAGTGTGGAGGTCATGGCTTGTTTTCTCGTGGTATCATTTATTTTCAGGCCACTCTAATAGACACTTTGATGTGAGTAACGCCACCTATTTTTAGATGGGAAAAGTACTGATGTGGATTAGATGTACTTCGAGTTTGGGTAGTTAATAAATTATTATATGTACTTCGCTTTTGGGTAGTTGATAAATCATTATATGTACATTTTTTTGGGTAGTAGATAAATGGTTAAATTTACTTCACTTTTGGGTAGTTGATAAATGATTAAATGTACTTCACTTTTGGGTAGTTGATAAATAATTACATATACTTAGATTTTGGGTAGTTGATGAATAATTAGATGTACCTAGATTTTGGTTAGTTGATAAATGGTTAAATGTACTTCGCTTTTGGGTAGTTGATGAATAATTAGATGTACTTAGATTTTGGGTAGTTGATAAATGATTATATGTACTCCGCTTTTAGTGTGTATTGTGGTTGTGCTATGTTGGGGCGGGATAATGACTGATAGATTTGGCTGCCCAGACCACGCTGCCTTTGTAATGATTTGATCGTGGAGGCCCAATCGGGAAGACACAGGGGACCTCAGCTGTCTAGAAAACAAACTCGATAAAAGCTGTCCCCAGAAACGGAATGTGTCAACCATTTTTGTGCTTGGGGAGGAATTGTCACATACGGTTAAGTCAGTGGCCATGGCCGTTTGCAGCCAGTGAAAACTAAGAGAAAGATTTATCGATGTATTTACTAATGCTGCTACATAATTTATTTTACAGTCATGGGTGACTGATGTATTTACTAATTAGTTAGTTAGTTAGTCTTTCCTCTTGTGTTGAGTGCGGCACATAGGGCAGAGGTCATGACTCCATGCATGGTGGTTCGTTGCAATCCGTTGTAGGTCTTGGATGTTTGAGAGGCCCATGAGCGAGCCTTCCCTGATGATAGTTCTACGTAGGGTTTCCCTTGGTCTTCCACGAGATCTTTTCCCCTGTGGTGTTCAAATGAGGGCTTGGTAAGGAAGTCTTGATTTATCCATTCTAAGGGCGTGGCCGACATAGTTCCAGCGGCGTTTTCGTATAAAATTAGACACATACTCTTGCCTGGATTCTTGCCTTATTTGTGTATTTGTTCGAAAATCTGACCATTTGAAATTTAGTATTCTTCTAAGGCATTTATTTTCAAAACTGTCTAATTTTGTGTCTAGAGTTTTCGTTGATTTCCAGCTCTCTATTTACTAATACTGCTGTATTATTTATGAATGAAACAGGTGGGGAGCAGAGATTGCGGCAATATGCAACCCACAGTACAAACCACGTATCACCTGGTCAAGACTGAACTCCTCACAATGGCCTGTCAATCCGTATGAAGTTGGAAGAGCTTTTATACCTCGAGCTCATAGACTTTACTACAAATCTGCTGAATTTCACGAAGACTTACGTTTTGTCCTGAGCTTCTTAGAAAACTGTTCCGCAGTTCACCTGCCGAGGTCGCTGTGTGAAAAGGCATGGCAGTGTCATGGACGGGTGAAAAGGAAGAATGTCCGCATGAGAATGGGAAGTCAGGAGTTGGAGGAAACTGTATCTGTGATGACAGAGTTGTTGTCTCAAGAGGATTTAGGAGACAATGAAGATGTCATCAACAAGATGCAGGCTTTGTTAAGTGACACAGAAACAGAAATGGATGGTTGTGTTGTTATGTGAAAACTGTAGTACATATTACTCAGCTTCATGACTGTTTTTAAAAAAAAATAGTAAAGTAAGGTTAAATAAAGAAAGGCCAAAAAACACATGGACAAGAGAGCTGGAGAATGAAGTGAGAAAGATGGGGAGAGCTCCATGTAATAGTGAAGTATAGAATGACTTGACGTGAGTTGGTTGAGGGCCTATGCTCCATTGGGGGATAGAAAGGCAAAAGAAGAAGGTTAAATAAAGAGAAGTAAAGTTAGGGCCCTTTTTATGCCAGTAATATATCAGGCATATGATGATACACACATTTTAAGTGCATTATATTTACTAAATATTTTTAATTTGTTATTTGTATGATCATGCATTCATGATTTCAGATTTATATAATGAAGCAAACCTGTTATTTGTATGATCATGCATTCATGATTTCAGATTTATATAATGAAGCAAACCTGTTATTTGTATGATGTTTTACAAATGTTATTTCTGTATGCATCTTCTTGTACTAGTTCTGAACTGTTATTTATCTTCACATTCACTGGCTGTAAACTCCGGCATGAAGTTCTGGTTGTTTGTCCACTTCTGGATTTTAGTCTTGTTTTAGAACCTGTTGCATGTGCATGTTTTACAGATTGTATGTGTATGCAGACTGTTGGTTCCTTGCTTCTCAAGCAGATGCACTCCAAAGGAACCCCTTAGTCCACTCTTATGACATGCTTGTTTAGGGAGGCAGTAGGTCTGTTCTTGTTTCTTGTTCCCCCCCCCCCCCCCCCCCCCCCCCCACGACACGACAATGGGACCCCAGAACCCATGCGGAGAGGAGCTGTTCAGTAATACAGGTTTCAGTAGTCATAATTCCTTACTGGAGTCTTCTCTGGGGGGTCTTTGTGGTGAAGCATGCCTCATGCTCTGAAGAGCCATGGTTGGCAATTGATCTAGGAGAAAGGTCCGACAGGAGGAAAGACTGAGCACTAATCTTCTGATGGGGCAGTTTCTGTCGTGTCCTTTATTCCAGACACATTAGTGTTACCTTTCCTTCGGCATGTACAAGGCAGGCTGAAGGTCTGAAAGAGGGAGCATGTCATATGGACAACACATTGTCTCCCAGGTTTACTATTACAGAAAACATGTCTTAACGCGAGCAGGTTTTGCTGGTCATACTCGCCATTGCTGTGTGCATTGATTCCCACGTCTCCTTGTAGCACTGCCATCTGGAAAGACACCAACGAACCATTGGACAAACCCTTCTTCTTCTTCTTCTTCAGCATTCCGAGCCTTTGAGGGTTATTGCGGCAGATATCACCCACCTCCACTCATCTCTCTGGTTAGCCTTCTCTTTCCAGATGGTGACACCAAGTGTTTGCAGGTCTGTCTGGATGTTATCTCTCCATCGTCTTCTTGGTCTGCCTCGTGGTCTACGACCATTCAGCTCCCTTGTTTATAGTTTTTACATCTCTGTCATTTGACATTCTCTCAATGTGCCCAAGCTATTTCAGTCTATTAGCTCTCATGATGCCAGTGATCAATGGTGATTTAAACAGATTATGAATTTCCTTACTGCTTTTCACTCTCCATTCCCCGCTGCTTGCATCTTTGATGGGTCAGAAGACAAACCCTGCACCCAGAAAATTAATGAATATATGTCTGTGTGCTTTCATATTCATCTTAAAAATAAATGATGAGACTTTTAATGTTATAAATGAGTGGAGTTATATGTTGGTTTCCCATAACTGTTGGTTTCCCATAACTGTTTGTTCAGCTGTCTGAAAGGATTAACTGTTGGTTCAGCTGTGTGAAAGGATTAACTGTTGGTTTCCTATAACTGTTGGTTCAGCTGTGTGAAAGGATTAACTGTTGATTTCCCATAACTATTGGTTCAGCTGTGTGAAAGGATTAACTGTTGGTTCAGCTGTGTGAAAGGCCTGTCTAGCTAAAGATTCTTTTTCTTCATGTTTATCATCTGTAAACGCTGATGCAAAGTCCTGGCTTTTTGTTCACTTTTGGACATCCACATATGCATGTAGAACTCAATTTCAGAAACAAGACTAACGTCCGGAAGTGGATGAACAACCAGAACTTTCCGCCCAAGTTTACAGCCAGTGAACATAAAGAAAAAGAAGTCTCTTTTATGTCCTGGGGTCTATGAAATTGGCAGAGAATTGTAACCCACAACATATAATGTAAAATTGACTAAGAAGGGTTGGTGAGACGTAGCCACAAAATCCAGCTAGTTAGTTAATCAACCAATCACCCTTCTTGCACACGGGACATGTCCATAAAAGTGCTCGGATTCCATCTTCAATATCTCCCTCAGCATGTGGCATAATAACACCAGCCCTGTGTTGGTTTATTATTCTTGTTTGGCTACCTGTATAGTGTTTATGTCTGGCAACACTTCTTTTGGCATAAAGTTATTGTAGTCTTGTAAGGTCGCTGAATCATCATCATCTCCTGAATCATCTACTTGTCCTATCTTCTTGATAGCATTGAGAGCATCAGCCGGGTCCATTGGTTTTCCTGTGTTTACTCTGGCCCTGCCAGCAAGCCAGTCTGCTCATTCCTTCCCTCGTACCCCTGAGTGAGGGAAAAAAATAATCTTAATCACGAACAAGTCATACAAGATTTGGCGCGAGTCGGTTGATGTTTGTGCTACAGTGAGAGATAAAGAAACAGGACACCAAAGAATTCTGTTGCATTAATATTGTGTCTGACACAAAAATGTCAGTAACCTTTGATGTAGGTATACCTTACAATATTTTTTAGCCATGAAATAACTACCTTCTTCTTCATGTTCACTGGCTTTTAATTCCTGTCGAAAGTTCTGGGTGTTCATCAACCTCAGGACTTTAGTCTTGTCTAGAACCCCCGTGTTGCATGCACATCCGTTTCACACATCTGGCTTATTTGTATGCAGACTCTTGGGTTCTTGCCTCTCAAGCAGGTGTACTCCGACTTCCAAGAATGTCCCCAGTTGGTCAACTACAACATGCTTGTTGGGGAGGCAGTGGCTCTATTCTTGTTCTTCCCACAATGCAGCCCCAGAACCTACTCGGAGAAAATAACCAAAGAAAAAATGCATATCATTTGCAGGACATGGTTAAAAAAAACCTAACATTTGACAGCTGTATGTTTACACAAGATCTGAGAAAGGTGATCCAAGTTACAAGAAGGGACAAAGTTCACAATCAGACAATACCTCAAGATCTTGAAACCCAGGCCTTACAAACTTGAGTGGATCAGTCACAGTTATAATGGTTTGGTCATGTATGCAGAATGGGAGAAAATCTACAATCATAGCAAGCATGGGAGGCTAAGAACCAGGGAACCACTCCAAAGCAACCCAGGGTCTGCTGAAGACAGCATCCAACAGTCCCTGACTGATAGCGGACTGGAATAAAACAAAGCCAGAAACAGAACTGCTGACAGAGAAGTTTAGCGATCTCTCTGGCAGTCCTCTATACCGTTAGAGAGATCACTAGACTTCTCTGGCAGTCCTCTATACCATTAGAGAGATCACTAGACTTCTCTGGCAGTCCTCTATACCATTAGAGAGATCACTAGACTTCTCTGGCAGTCCTCTATACCGTTAGAGAGATGACTAGACTTCTCTGGCAGTCCTGTATACCGGTAGAGAGATGACTAGACTTCTCTGGCAGTCCTCTATACCGGTAGAGAGATGACTAGACTTCTCTGGCGGTCCTCTATACCGGTAGAGAGATGACTAGACTTCTCTGGCGGTCCTCTATACCGTTAGAGAGATCACTAGACTTCTCTGGCAGTCCTCTATACCGGTAGAGAGATGACTAGACTTCTCTGGCAGTCCTCTATACCGGTAGAGAGATGACTAGACTTCTCTGGCGGTCCTCTATACCGGTAGAGAGATGACTAGACTTCTCTGGCGGTCCTCTATACCGGTAGAGAGATGACTAGACTTCTCTGGCGGTCCTCTATACCGTTAGAGAGATCACTAGACTTCTCTGGCAGTCCTCTATACCGTTAGAGAGATCACTAGACTTCTCTGGCAGTCCTCTATACCGTTAGAAGACGAGCTATGTTTAAACAATTTTATATTCCGTAAGGTTGCCAATAGTGTTTGTGGCTTAGGTATTGTGAATGCGCTTTTTAATGCCGGGGTTGATCCCAGCTGCGGGCCTTGCGCTGGTTTTAACAGTGATATAGAGAAGCCGACTGACCAGAAAGCAATGGCAAACTACTGGATGTAAATTTGCCTAGAAAAAAACAACACAGTAGCCAAAAAATGCAGGGGTTAGTTCTGCAATGTAAAGGATACACAACTAACTAATTTTGCCAATGTTTATTGAACGGTCAACACCACTGTCGAAATCAACAAAAAGTACCAGTTAGCAAGACCATAATAAAATCTGACAGTTAAAGAAAAGACGGAAAATCTAAGGTAACAACTTTGAAAGTTTCTTTTTATTTAATCGCGTACACAGAAACAATCGATAACAAAAGATATACACACACAACAATGAATATTCAACAAACAAAAAATGGTCTAGTAACTGCTTTCTTTTGAGGTGACATCCATTCTCCATATGTAATGCTCACAGGCAACTCCTCTAGTTGCTAAATGCCACAATTTGACTAAACTAATGTGACATTTTCAGACACAAGTTGACATATTAGTTTACTCACACAAGCTCCATTACACAAAGTCCATAAATATCAATTGTATGCTCCATTAATAAATTATAATAATGATAACATAATGAAGAATAATTAATAAGACATTCAGTAGTGACGACGAATTAATAAGGATATTTATAATACAAGATGACCAGTGTTGTCTCTGAGCTGTGCTAGTGTGCAAATTAAAATTAGTTGCGTATCCTTTACAGGACGTTGCAGAACCAACCCCAGCATTTTTTGGCTGCTGTGGTTTTTCTAGGAAAATTTACGTCCAGTAGTTTGCCACTGCTTTCTGGATGGTCGGCTCTCGGTACCAACGTTGAAACCATCGCAAGACAAACCGTCTACAGCAGAGATCGAACCCGACACCCAGGCATTACAAAGCGAGCTCGCAATGCCTAAGCCACAGACACCGACCTAGTGTGGAAGCAGACATTTTCAGCCCTTGGTAGAAATAATTTTTGGCCTATCGCTCAAATATTTCTCATCCAATGACAACATGTATGCGACAGTAAGATTAAGGCTCCTTCACGACTTTGATGCTAAGCAGAACTGTTGCTGACATCACTCCACACCTCAGAGACAGCGCTGAGATGACCCACATACATCTAGCCTTAACTCTTTGAGTCCTAAGGAACGCATCATAGGTTTCCACCTAGAAGCACGGTTAACACAAGATGCGCCGATTTTGCGCCTCTCTTGACCACCCCTTGGGGTTCTGATGCTCCCCTGGGACTCAAAAAGTTAACAAACAATTATGCATATTTATTTCTTTGTGAACTATAGTAGAACTCCAATATTCATTATTAATCCGTTCCCGACGGGAGGGCGAATTTTAAAAAAGAATGAATATCAGAGTTTTTTCCCCGTGGGAATTAACTAAAATTCATTTAATTAGTTCTCAGTCCCGAATTTTGCCTATCTATTCTTCAACAGTTCACTCTAAATTCCTTAGAAATACATATTAACCATTGTACTTATTACTAATTTTTCATTGTGACAGCGATTTATTTGTCCTCGTGACGTGAAAATACTGCTGGCCGATATAAATACAATTTTAAACGGAAATTTACCTTTTGGAAGAAAAAAACAATGGCTATTGTTGGCAAGGGGAGGCACCTTCCATTATGACACCAGGTAATGTCACTTCTGGTGATTTATGTACCGATGATTGATCAGCATTTCCAGACGATTTATCAGCAATCGTTTTTTTTTTTTTTTTAATAAAAGAAGTTACACCAATGTTGTTTGTTTACACTGTCATCCAAAAAATTTATATGCTGATTAACTATAGCAATGTTTAGGTGCTATTTCTTAACGAAATCTGCATTTTTGACCAAATGGACAGGGATATGTCAATATCAGCACTTGGAACCGGCTTATCATCATCTTTTTTTCTTGTCTGATAACCCACCAGCTACGTCAGAGGAAGAACGAAAACTGACTTTCCGGGCGAATATCAAACACAAATTTAAATGAAAAAACAACAAACTTGAAGGAAAAAAGATGAATATTTAGGAGTTCTACCGTACATCAGTGGGACAGTGAAGGTTTGCCATGGACAACATATATTTTAAGCCATACTGCATATAGATTACAATAAGGACTGCCTACTAAAGTTGAGGTTTTTTAACAAGCTTTTATTAAGTTTGCTTTTGTTTGTTTGTTTGGTATAATTTTTGCGTTCATTTTTGTGTGTAAATGATATCACAGACCCTTTAAATTTGTTCCATGCACCATCAAATAGGAAAGACTGAACTAGATAAAGTATTCGACACCTAATTCTCACTGGTTCTATTAACAAGTCTGAACCATATCAACAAAGACAACCAGTCACTTTACCTCACATAGCTGTCAGTAAGAAATCCACAAGAAAAAATTGAATGGAATGTAAAATAAATTCATGATGGTGCTGTAATTACAAAGTGCCAGAATTTCTTATAAAATAAAAATGCAAAAATACTCATGAACCACACAGAATACTATTAGTTTGGGTCTGTCCAAACCTGAAGCACAGCTCAGACCAGAGACCATTCTTATGGCCTTTGGGCAGTGTAACAAAGTCGTACTTGAGAAGAGACGGAGTCATTTACTCAGTCGATCCTCTTCTCCCCTGGGCTGTAGAGGTCACATGACATTATAATATTTTATTTTATTAAAAAAAAATTTTATGTTGTTGTTGGCAGATATACAATTTTGAGAATAGTGTTGTGACAAATATTTGGACCCAATGAAAAACGAAGAAGGGAGAGTGAGAAGCTACAAGGAAATTCATTATCTGTTTTAATCAATACTCATTTGTGGCAGCGTCTGTGGCTAAGGCGTTGCGCACGTGTTTCGTAATGTTGGGTTCGATCCTAGCTGCGGGCTTTGTGCTGGTTTTGACAGAGGTATCGAGAAGCCAACCGTCCAGAAAGCAATGGCAAACTACTGGATGTAAATTTGCCTAGAAAAAACACAACAGCCAATGCTGGGTTCTGCAACCTCCTGTAAAGGATACGCAACTAACAGCAACACTGCTGGCATCATGAGGGCTAACACTGCAATGGCTGGGGCATAGACAGAAAGAATGGTAGACAAAAGGCAAGAACTACGTAACCAAATGAGTTGAATGGACCACGAGCAGACCAAGAAGACAGTGGAGAGATAGCTTTTATGCTGACACTTTGAGTCACCAAATAGAAAGAGAAGGTCAACCAAAGAAGTGACTGATATCTGGCAGCAATGAGTGTCAAGAGCTCTGAATGTTGAAGAAGTTCGCACATATGTATGCACTGCGTTCTGCCCTCTCATTATTATGGTCCAATGTTGTAGCTTGGTAATTTCATTCACAAGCTTGAGGTCAACTTAAGGCCACTGATGTGTACAAGGGAAAACCCTGTATCTTACCTTTGGTTCTATACCAATATTTTTGTTTGTTTAGCAAGACTTCTGCCACACGGCCTTGTCGTATGCCACAGATATTGGCTAGAATTAGTTGAAACTAAGCTGGCAAGGGATCTTTAGCTGGTAGTCCCTAGACATTCAGTCTAGAAGCGGAAAACCTTTAGCACAAGCCCACCTCAATACACAGATGAAAATATCCATCAAAAGACTCATTAGAAAAATGAGTTGTGGACTTCTGGCCCTGACCTACTAAATTACTGTTTGTGGTTCAAATTTCTATCAAGCCAGGATTCTATTAAATGACAAACAAGGTAGAAATGTCCAATGAGTGAGGATCCTATTAAACAATAAAAAAAAAAGGTTCACATTTTCATTAGGCAAAGGCCCTACTGAATGACAATACAGGTTTAATTCTTCTTCTTCACTTCCTCTTTTACCGCTGTGGGTGTCGAGGGAGATATAAGATTCTGTTTCTAGCTCTTCTGGCTGCCTCGACCATAGGCACATCGTGCTGTTGTAGAGTTTCTCTGATGTTATCCTTCCATCTTGTTCTTGGTCTACCTCGTGCTCTACGTCCTTCTTCTCTTTCCATATATGCTTTGTATGGTATGGTGTCACAAGGCATTCTCTCTAAGCGGACAAACCATTTCACTTGCTGTCTTTTGGTTTAATTGCCGCTACCAAAGTCTACACACCCTGGGATGTGGTGACCAAGAAAGATAAAAAGACACTCCTGACACTTTCAAAAATGATCAAAACAATGATATCTCCAGGCAGCCAAAAGAAAAGTGCCCTTTTATATGAGAACAGTCTAACATCCCAAGAAAGTGAAATGCTCACTTTGTCAAGGTCATAAAAGTCTCTGGTCTGAGCACTGCTTCCTATCGATCCTTAGGGGTATAGCCCATGATGAGTGGAAGGCTGAGGCTGAATACACAGATGTGAGGTAAACAAAAACATATTGAATGAAAAGCTACAATGTACGACTGCTAGTCATTCAGTGTTGTAAATCACAGCTAGGTCACTTATCAGCAACAAAACATAACAACAATAAGAAGTTGTATGTCAAGGATGACTACATTCTACTAAAACATTTTCAATGAAAACCAAAATCACTACACTCCTCCTGTGAAACTGTCAAAACAGGAACAAGGGACCATGAAGGGGCAAGTGAAACAGTGATTGGCAAGCTTGACTGCTGGTGTCTGGGACAACAGAGTGGACCCGACTCCACCCAAAAGCGGGTCCCTGGAAATATCCATTTTATAGATACAGCTTATCTATATGCAGATTGTTGGTTCATCGACTCATGCAGATCCACTCTAGTTTAGAAAGGAAACACCACTAATTAGTCAAATTTTACAACACGCTTGTTAGGGAGGCAATGGGTCTAACCCTTCCCCTCCCACACATGATGGGCTCACGGAACCCATACAGGGAGTTGTAGGTAGCCGAGCTTCTAGAGACAGTTAAATTAACTCAAACTGCCCCAGAGCAGTTGTTTTAACCCCTTCTGATAAAAACTGTATTACTTGTTAGTTACTTGCCTGTTTGAGGTGAGAAAGAGAATTATTAACAGCTAAATCCTGATGTAGGGAAGTGAATCATGGAGAGTCAGTGCCTTAAAAAAAAAAACTATTTTAAAGCTGCAGAGATGTGGTTTCATCTCGATGGACGGACAAAAAAATAGTGCAATAAAGATGTCTTGAAAGAAATGAACTCACAAAGGGAGCTGATTACCTCCATCAGAAAGAGATCAACAGTCTTTGGTAACATCATGAGAAGGGGCAAAGGAAAGTATGTTATGACAACAGGAAAGCAGGAGGGATGGAGAAGAAGAAGGAGAACAAGACAGAAGATACTCAACAGTTTAGCATTACAGCATGGAGGAACATCAGTGTCAGAGATGACTGAAAGTGCACGAGACAGAAGGCTGTGGACAGACAGGACTACCAACGACACACGGCACCGACCATAAGCAGCAGCAGGTAAGCTTGTGATAGAATGAGCTAGAAAGTGTTTCATTACCAGCCACGGGTTCGATTCTCAGCATGTTAACTACAGTTTTCAATGTTTAGTGTGTCCTTCTATCTTTCTATGAGTGCAGATCAATACATGTCTACTTGTTCATTATAAATAATGTTTCTACAGTCCCAGAGCTTCCCTATCTGTTTACTTCTGTGTTTAACTACTATCCAGATCTATACCATTCATGAACCATAACTCTGATAAAAATAAACTAGAGTAGCATCTCACATGCCCCTTTATGTGGAGGTAACTCCTCTCACCCAATCACTCATTAGTACAGCTGTAATTAGCATTTCTTGCAGGGTCCCAGCTATACAATGGAACAGTAAATGACTAAAACTGATGTAGAATGTGGACTTGGCTTCAACTAGATGGCAGCTGGATCTAATAATACTTGATCAATATCAAAACTGGACCCAGTTGCCAGCTGCAGTGTTGGAAGACTCCTCTTGCGATCTGAAATAGTTAGGCAAAGGTTTTTGTAAGCGTTGACAATTCTGTCGATGTTGGTTAAATTTAGTATAAGCTTTTCCCTTTCACCATGACAAGCCATAATACTGATACTTCCGGCTGGTACTATTTCCCTGTACAAGTCACTTTCCTGACTGTAGTAGAGACATGTTGACTAGAAGTCTTTATCTTCTTAACGTCTATGCCGTGTGGTGTTGGTAGTCATGCCTATCCACAGCCTTCTGTCTCGTATCTGTTCAATCAACTCTGACACAGATGATCCTCTCCATGTGATGATGTCAAACTGTCCAACATTTTTTCTTGTGATGTCTAGTCAACAGAATTCATTGCATGAGCATCTGGGAGGGAGGGTGGAAGGGGTCCTTTCAAGAAAATGGCTTACTTATAGAAATTTCCATGTCATATTTGTACCTTTTGGCTACACAGGTTGCCAGGCAAATCGGTCACAGTGTCAGGCTACAATCAGTATACAGGCCCTTAGCGATGATTGATTCCAGTTGATTCTATGCTGTTTCCGTTTCTACTGAGAACTTTCTTACTCTCTACAGCAGCAGTTCTCAATCTGTGGTCGCGACTCTTTTTGTGTGGCTCAAACGACCCTTTCACAGGGGTCGCCTCAGAACATCAGAAAACCCATATCTACTGAAGTTATGAAAGCAGCAATGAACATAACTGTATGGTTGGGGGTTCGCCACAGCATGAGGAACTGTATGTAAGGGGCCCCGCATTAGCAAGGTGGAGAGCCAGAGCTCTACACTATATGTTCATATTTTGGAACATCATCAGTTTGTGTTTTCTGTTTTTGGTCTGTTGTGTTAAATGGTTGTTTTTCTAAAGATTTTTGGGGATTGGGGGGGGGGGGGGGGGGCGGGACATTGAAAAAAAAAAATAGAAAGTATGGAAGCTTGGATTTGTATTTTTCGCAGGATCTGGGCAAAAGTGTTCAGACTTAACGTAGTGGTGAAAGCAAACAGCCAAGAAGATAAAAACAACTTGAAATCAACACAACATCAGGCACTAGAAGGCGGTCTTTTAAAAAAAACCCTGACTAGTGACATCAACAAACTATTCTTCTTTGTCAGCTCATTATCCCCCAATGGAGTATAGGCCCTTAATCAGCTTAAGCCAAAAACAAGTATATATACTGGAGCAGTCAGGCCAGTCATGGAATATGCCTCCACTGCATGGGCTGCAGCAGCCAAGACAACAATGGGAAAACTGGACAAGGTTCAGAATATGGGATTAAGGATTGTTTTCGGAGCCATGAAAACCACCCCCATCAGAGAAATAGAAAAGATAGCAGATACTGAACCACTCGAACTCAGAAGACAATACAAAACTCTTTTACAGTATAGAAATTAAAAAGACTTCAAAGTCACCCACTGTATTTTAAATTTCAAGAGAGAACAAAAAACAGACTGAAGCGTCAGAGCCCCAACCACCTTGCGAGAGAACTGTACAGACAGCACCAAGATCTGCTTGAAAGAGATGTTGCACTGTGCGAAAAACCATGGACAAGCGAGCCAGAGAAAGCAAATGTAGTCCTAAAGGTACCAGGAATCACTTCAAAAGATGCCCAGACGGAGACACAACAGAGAACCCTGGCTCTTGCTATGCTTGATGAGAAGTATCCAAACACCACTTGGACTCAGGTTTTCACCGACGGCTCTGCTACAGATGCAGTCAGAAAGGGGGGTTGTGGAATTTACATTAAACTCCCTAGCAATAGAGCAGAAACTCTCTCTCTACCAGCAGGTGACATCTGCACTAACTTCAGAGCTGAGGCAACTGCCCTCCTCTCTGCAGTCCAACATCTCATCACTCAAGAACACAGAGGGCACCAAATTGTTATACTTAGCGACTTATTGTCTGTTCTCCAAGCACTATCCAGCAAAAAACAAGACAAACTAATTGCTGATCTTAGGACCAACATTGGCTTACTCTCCAAGGAAGCAGAACTGGTCTTGCAGTGGATACCAGCCCACTGTGGTATTCAAGGAAATGAATGAGCAGATGAGTTGGCAAAAGCTGGGAGTAATCTTCCACAACCTCATCCACCACACAGCTACAAGGAAACCAAAACAGTACTAAAGCAGTCTTTCAAGCGGGAGTGGAGAAGGCAGAATGGAGATTACAGACCAGAGAGTGACAGCATTAACAAACTCAACAGGAAAGAACAAACATCAATTTTTAGACTTCGGACTGGACACTGTGGTCTTCGAGCACACTTGTACAGGATAGGCATAAAAGAATCTGCTGCCTGTGATTGTGGAGCAGAAAGACAGACCCCTGAGCATATACTACAGTACTGCCCTAACCTCTCCCAGCAAAGACTGTGGATCTGGCCCAAAGGAGCCACATTGAAAGAGAAGCTAAGGGGGACCGGTGGCGACCTTAAACGCACAATCCTATTTATGACCCAGACGGGACTCAATGTTTAGCATGACTGATATCGAACGCAGAAGAAGAAGAAGAAGCTTAAGCCAAGTTGTCCTAAATTTTCTTTATCACTAGATTCAATTCTCTCCCAAAACTACACATGTATTAAACCATTTCTTCTTCTTCATCATCTTTGCATTCACCGACTGGGGAAGGGGGTTCGGAGGGTTAGTTTTTCGACTATCCACCCCCCACCCTCATAGGGGTCCTGAAACGCACAAGGGTAAATCATGGCATTTGATTCCTCCTTCTGTTTTGCACAGAAATGGTTGATGAATTAGTTTGCAATATTGGGCACTGAAAAACAGCCCCACTGATCAAATCGGTATGAGTATGGGGTTCAACTCACATTTTCAGGCCCGAAAACCTGAGTTGTACCGAGTATGGAGATGAATCACAGAGTTGACTGATAGTGAAAAATTACATGGAAGGTGGAAATTCAATAGCTAATACTTATAAAACTTAATTTTTTTACAGTTATTATCTAATAATTCAATCTGTTCATAGTTACAGAGCCCAAAACTAAATTTGTAAAAAGGTTAATAACTAAATAACGTAACTTTATAAGTTGAGTTGAGTCAAGAATTGACATCATAGCACTCGGGGCGTTCCCATATGCACTCCATCCTCATCCTCAGCAGCCAGTGTAGAGTTCCAATACTAATGTCAATAACTTACAACTGAATTAGCCAACAAATCGACTCCATCAAGACCCAACTCACCCGCCGGCACTGGCAAAATCCCCCCACAGGTCAGGTGGATTCTGGGAGGCTGCAGGCTTGGGCTGATGCGACGCTGGTTCCAGGTGACCTATGTCCAGCAGGAGGTCAACACCTTGTGGCTGAGGCGAGGACTGAAGGACACAATGGAGGTATTACATTCACACTGATACAATTTCAGGACATATTACATTCATGGTGATACAACTTAGGACACTACATTTATGTGCTGTAATGGTATGGTGAGCATAATGGTACAGTGGGCGTAATGGTACAGTGGGCGTAATGTACCTGCAGATGGGGGTGCAGGATGTGCTATTGTGAGATTAATGATGACTTTCCTATTGTTGTGTACCCTCAACGATATTTAAGTACTGCATCCACTGTCATATATTTATATATATATATATATGGATTTAGGACAATTCTGCACTTAAATATATGCTTATGTTAGATTCAAAATACATATTCCCTGCATGGAAATTCCTGGGTCCCTTTTGGGAGGGGGTGGGGGGAATAGAATTGACAAACTGTTCCCGTAACAAACATGTAGTAAAAGTCAACTAATTACGGCTGTTTCCTTCAAAGAGAGGGCGTCTGCTTGAGAGGCAAGGAACCAACAGTCTGCATTCATATAAGCCAGATCTGTAAAACTGACGTGCACGCAAAACTCAAGTTCCGTTGCGAGGCTGACTTCCAGAAATGGAGGGACAACCAGAACTTTCTGCCAGAGTTTGCAGGTCTTCACCTTGTACCCATTTTTGGCTGGGTCATTGTTGCATGCAAAATATGGATAAATGAAAGGGTTATGCCCCTTGGTAATTTGGTCTATATTTTAAAACATTTATGTTCCTTGAAGTTTAAAATTATAATTAAGGGGGTAATATGTAAATTAGACCACAGACCCATTTACTGGGTTCACAGGGTCAAGGAGTTGTATAGCTGTACAACTGGAGGTAAGCCATAGTTTATATATGAGCGTGAACCACATTGCGGTGCAGTGAGAAGGGCCCACGGGGGGAGGGGGGGGGAAGGTGTGTAGTGATCACTGAGTTATCAGAGAAGCCGTTGACTCCACGAAGTCCAACGTCTACTCTGCGACGTTGGAGAGGGAGGACTGTTATTATTATTACGTGCACAGCTGTAGCGCGGGATCAGGGAACTCGGGTGTGACTGTATGTTCTAGTCTGGGTGTTGTCAGACTAGACGAGTGTGCCTTTGTTTTACGCTGGGTAGGTAGATCTAGTGTCCATCTTGTCTGTGGAAGTTGACGCAGCGGCAATGGCCCAGCGTGATGTGTTTGTGAGGTGAGATTCAGGAGATCTCAAGGTGACATGACAGGCCACAGACGGGAAGTCTGGAAGGGTGCTCACAAGTTATTGTGCATCGGCCTGGGGTTTTCTATGGCCAGAGAGACAGTCACACTTATCACAAACAGGTGGATTTACGCGATCGTGTATTGACTGCCGGTAGCAATGACAGAGCATAGGGGTGACAGGAGAGGTCCTCTGGACTGTCGTGTAGTTTCATGTAGCAGCAGTGTGATTGAATGTCGTATGATATTTTATCTTGTGAGGCACTCCGTTTTTCATGATGTCTGGTTACAGTGTGTACTTTGACGGTAATGACGGTAAACCCGTGACTGAAGTCCTCTGTTACTGCTGAGCTGCAGTTTTGACCTGCAAGATTGAGCTTCACGAGTACCCATAGATACTCGGCAAGTGTGCGGTGCATTATTGTATTTGGCACGCGTCATTTATCGCTTTCTTCACCGGCTGTAAACTCCGCCCGAAAGTTCTGGTTTTTCATCCATTACTAGACGCTAGCCCTGATCCATAAACTGAGTTGCGTGTACATCCGTTTTACAGATCTGACTCATCTGCATGCAGACTGGTGGTTCCTTGCTCTCAGGCAGATGCACTCCGACTTCAAGGAAAGCTCCCATATAGTCGACTCTTACAACATGCTACTGGGGAGGCAGTGGGTCCTGGAACCCATATGGGGAAAAAGCTGGGTCATTAAATCTAACCAATCAGGAAAAGAGTCTACAAACGGCTTAGCAGGAGTCAGCCGAGTCTAATCTCAATAAGAAAAAAAAAAAACAGAAGATGAAAAAGGTGAATAAGAAATAACCGACAAAACACATACAATAATTTCGAGTTCGAGAAGTAAGGGAAGGTCCCTAAACCACCAGTGGACAGGCTGGACATATTTTTATAGATCAATCAGTCCTTGATCTCCCCCGAAGGTGTCTCCACCTAGCCGCAGTGGGGGAGCTTGTGTTCCACAAAAACCCTGAGCTACCAGCAGGGCCTCCCAATCCAGAAAAGTCAAAGGGCAGAGAACAGATAAAGCAAGACACCCTGGTCCTCCAGGTTGGTGGCTCAAGCGTGGGAGCCGATACCTCCACCTTCTTAAAACTTCACTTCATCACGGAACAGATCTAAGCCTCGATTTCGAGTTGATTTAAACAGATAGCGAAACTGTAACGTTAAAGGATATCCAGACAGATAAACAAACACTTGGTGTCACCAACTGGAAAGAGAAGGCCAACCAGAGAGATGGAGGCTGGCGATTTCTGCAGCAATGATCCTCAAAGGCTCGGAATGCTGAAGAAGAGAATCAGTCCTCGATAGGTGATGTGGTCAGCAACACGCTAGCTGCTTTTACTGCCCAGTATTTCCCCTGGCATCCAATTAAGGCTGGATCAACATGGATGCCAAGTCAACTTTGAAAAAAATCCTGCACCCCTGATCTTCAGATCCAGAGGTGAGCGTCTTGCCGCTACACCGAGCAACTCGCGATTCTGAGGGCTACACCATAGCGACTCCCGATTCTGAGCTAATTATACATTTAGAAAGGTGGCATACTCACACTCTGGAATGTGTTTCCCGAAGCCGAAGAGCTCGATTCAGATGATGAAGACGGTGAGACAGAAGATGGTGGTGGAAGTCTGACCCCTCCTGGTGGAGGGGGAAGTAACCCAAAGCCTCCGGCACCACCCTTAACTGCTGGTTTGCTGCGGGCCTTTGACGCATCACTCTTCTTGGTCTGATTACAAATGTAAAAAGTATTAGTTTATACAGAAACATTATATGTTCTCACTGCTGTGCACTTATACGTTCACCCTTACACGTGTGTGCATTAGTTCATATTTCTCAAATCTGGCATACAATACAACATCTTGTTTAAGAATGGAGATGGAGGCAGTCACTGCAGCCTTCCACCGGTTTCAGAACCAGTTACATACACATGTTGTGATTGTAACAGAGACTCACAGAGGTGGTCTTCTTCTTCTTTCGTTCGCCTGAAAAAAGTTATCTATACCAGCAGTTTTGTCTCTTGTATAAATTTCACTGTTGTTGTTAGTTCATTCAGTGGTCCATAGAGTTTACGTTCCACTGTTGTTCTTTCTGGCCAAAAGGTTTGCCTTAATGTGTCAAAATCGGTGCAGTCCTGGAGTAACAGAGGTGCTGACAGATATGCTCTGTGCAGAGCTACAAACATGGCTTCAGAGGTCCCAGGCAGTTAGCATCCTGTGAATATTTTCCCCAGGGCTTGCAGGTGAGCTGGGAACAGACAGACTGGCTCATTCTGCACTTTAGTGGTAACTTGATGCATGATGAACTAGATGTTATCAAGGACCCTCAAGAATGGGTGAACAGCTGACCTGGTTGACAGACAAACAAACAGCCCACTGGTATTGTCAGAATTGCAACTTTGCCTGGCAGCTGATGGAGAGCTTATAGCAGCGGTTCTCAACCCGTGGGTCGTGACCCCTATGGGGGTTGAATGACCCTTTCACAGGGATTGCCTAAGACCATAAAAAAAACATATTCACTGAAGTTAAGAAGTGGCAAAGCAAATAATGTTATGGTTGGAGGTCGCCACAACACGAGAAACTATATTAAAAGGTCTCGGCATTAGGAAGGTTGAGAACCCCTGGCTTAAGGAAATGTCCCAAGGGCTATGCTGTCAGTTGTTAACCTACATTTCTCAAATCCTCTTTTTGTAGCTGCCTCTGCTCTATCTTACAGTGAAATGATCACACAGAGACCTCTTCTGACAGGTTGTCTGTGGTTGTCTTTCTTTGATGACTCGATCAAGTGTAGCCTGCTTAATGCAGTCTTCTTCTTCTTCTTCTTCTTCACGTTCACCAGCTGCCTACTTCAGTGGACAATTCTGGTTGTTTACCCACTTCTGGACATTCATCTTATTTCAGAATGTGAGTTGTATGTACACATTCATTTTACACATCTGGTTTATTTGTGTGCAGACTGCTGGTTTCTGGCTTCTCAGGCAGAGGCATCCTGAAGAAAACACCTATAATTAGTTGTCTTTTACCACATGAGACATTATGACGATCGAGCCCACCTCACAATGGGATCCTGAAATCCACAAGAGGAGTTCAATGTAGTCACTCTTGAGGTGCTTAAAAATGTAGGGTGCCATAATTCTTGGTTTTTTTCAAAGTCATGGGACACACAGGCTATTGTTACTGTCTGGGTGAGCTTTCAAACTGTATTTTTACCTCTGACACTTTAAATACAAAGTAAAGGGTGCAAATCCAAAGCACAGTGTGTAAATACACAGCAAAGTGTGTAAATACATAGCAAAGTGTGTAAATACACAGCAAAGTGTGTAAATACAAAGCAAAGTGTGTAAATACACAGCAAAGTGTGTAAATACAAAGCAGTGTGTGTAAATACAAAGTGAAGTGTGTAAATACAAAGCAAAGTGTGTGAATACAAAGTAAAAAGTGTGTAAATCCACAGCAAAGTGTGTAAATACAAAGTAAAGTATGCAAATCCAAAGTAAAGTGTAAAACAAAGTGAAAATGTAAATACACTCTAAGTTAATAGGTATAAATACACTGGGTGCTAAATTCAAAGCAAGGTCTGCCCATTAGGGCTTGAAGCGAAGATCCAGTTTCGGTTTGCTGGGGGTCCGACAACAGTGGACTGTTTAACTCTTCTGCCTCTTGCTTCAAATACCTGAAAATATCACAAGAGACCCTGATTAGTTTTTACATTAGAAAACTGTTCTTTACCTGACATGGACTGAAGAATTCTCTCTCTTAAACAAATCACTTGCTGATTTACACCGTCTACGTAGTTCTTGCGATAAAACGACCCGGTTGCGTACAATTCAGCAGCTGTTTACTCATTTGTCAATACTCACTTCAAATGAGGCCGTTCGAGGGAGACTTGTTCTGAACTTCCTTCGTCTTTTTCGTTGCCGGCTGTGGAAAAATCAAGAAGAAGGTCAGCGGTTAATCGTCCGCTTGACACTATTAAAGAAGGCATGAAGATACTGGAAAGTGAAATTGTTTTTCCTCGACACTGTAGAAAAGAGTTGTTTTTCCTTGTTTCACACTCATGGGCAGCTGTACTCAAACTTCGATAAAAAGCCAACCGCAGCGTGCTAAAATGACTTGTCTCTGTATTTATCTCGAGGTCAAGACGATCCTATGATCTGTGTTCGTGAAGGTGTCAGGGGATAAATAGGTGTTGTGATTACATTTTTGGGGCAGAAAATTTGTGGAAAATGTGGGCCCTACAATAGCCAATGTTAGCCACGTCAAGTAATTCCACGCCATCAAAGGAGGCAATCCATGTATGTGAGTCCGGCACATGGCACTCTGGTTCTGGGCCAAAAAAGGAATCGTCACGGCCTCAGAGATGTAGTTTTACAGAACAATGCTTAAAATACCTTGCATAGGCAAAAAGAGCAATCAATAGGTTTTCAAAGAGGCGCGAGCCCGAAAACAACTTATCACAGACATAAGAAGAAGACAGTCATCATTTTTCGGCCATGTTTTGAGACGAGGGAAAATAGAACATGTGGTGACCACTGGAAAGATCTGTGGAAGGAGGGATAGAGGAAGACAACGAGAGAAGATTCTTGACAGTCTTGTTGCATGGCATGGAGGTGTGTCAGCACACGAACTAATACATGCTGCAGGAGATCGCAGATTGTGGCGAGGCACCTGATGATGATGATGATACACTATTCGTATTCGGCCGAATAGTTGGTCCCGCTATTCGTATTCGGCCGAATTGTGTAAATCACTTTTCGGTATAGCTCTAGTGCAAATACACAGCAAAGTTTGTAAATAATCAGTATAGTGTGTACATATACAACAAAGTGTGTAAATACAAGGCAAAGTGTGTAAATACAAAGTAATGTGTGTAAATACAAAGCAAACTATAAATACAAAGTAAAAAGTGTAAAGTATGTAAATCCAAAGTAAAGTGTAAATACAAAGTGAAGTGTGTAAATACACTCTAAGTTAATAGGTATAAATACACTTACTCCTAAATTCAAAGTAATTGTCTGTCCATCCTTGAAGCCAAGATCCAGTTTCGGTCCCGTGTCGACAGCATGTGACTGTTTCTCTTCTTCTGCCTCTTGCTTCAACCACCTGAAAATATCACAAGAGACCCTGATTAGTTTTAGCAGTTAGAAAACTTTTCTTTACCTGACACAATTTTGAGAATTCTCCCTTCTTCTTGTGATCACTCTCTGATTTACACCGACATACGAGTTCTTGCGATAAAACTGACTGTTCCATACAATTCTAAGCACAGTGTTTACTCAGTGGGTCAGTATTCACTTCTTAATGGGCCGTACAAGGAACAGACTTGGTTCTGAACCTTCCTAATGCTGCGACCCTTTAATACAGTTCCTCATGTTGTTGCGACCCCAACTATACAATTATTTTCGTTGCTACCTCATAACATAAATGAATATGTGCTTTGCGATGGTCTTTGACGACCCCTGTAAAAGGGTCGTGACCCACAGGTGGAGAGCCTGCTGAAGTAAGTGGTAGCCATTTCTGGCCAGCTTCTGTTCACCACTGGTAGACTAGATGGCCCTTTTTTTTCATAAAGTATGTTATCAAAAGTCGGCATCTGTGGCTTAGGCGTTGCTAACGTGCTTCGTTGTGCCTGGTTCGATCCCTGCTGCGGACGATTTGTCTTGCGCTGGTTTCGACAGTGGTACCGAGAGCTGACTGTTCAGTAGCAATGGCAAACTACTAAAGGTAAAATTTGCCTAGACAAACCACAACAGCCAATAAATGCTGGGGGTCGGTTCTACAACGTCCTGTAAAGGATACGCAACTAAAATAAAAAATGTTATAAAAAACCTCAGTACTAGGCAACTCCTGCCATAGATGAACTATTCTCACTTTCTTCTTCTCCATTCCTACCTGTATGGCATACACCACCGCAAGACTTCAGAAAATCTGCACTAAAGCTCATTCCCTGTCGAGTTTTCAGGAATGTTTGTTAACAGGAAGTCGCTCAAGACGAAAGCTCAGTTAAAATGAACAAACATTTTGTCCCAACACGAATGTGTTATTCATAATACATCTCCCCCGTGTGGGTTCCGGAGCCCCATTGTGGGGAAAACAAGAATAGACCCACTGGCTCCCCAAAAGCATGCTGTAAGAGTCGACTAATTGGGGAGCTTCCTTTGAAGTCGGAGTGCATCTGCCGGAGCAGCAAGGAACCAACAGTCTGTATTCAAGAGAATGAGATCTGTAAAACTGATGCACACGCAACACTCAGCTTCTGGAGTAGGACTGCAGTTCAGTAGTGGACGAGCAACCAGAACCTTCCGCCAGAATTCACAGCTGGTGAATGCGAAGAAGAAGAAGAAGAAGAAAATACATCTAGTAATCCCTGGTTGAGGAGCAGCTGGCCAAATGGGTAAGAACACTCATGCGAGAGACCTAGGTTCAAATCATCGGTAAAATCCATTTTTTTTCCTTGGGCAAAAATAAAGTCCTAACCTAAACATGTATCCCAGAGTCCTCACGCTCAAAGATCCCCTACGTACACTGTACAAGTGGTAAATAAAGGCAGCAACACAATTTTTTTTTAATCAGTCCACAGTTTGCTCAAATGTTTTTAACATAAATTCTGGATTTTTCAGCCCCTTGGAATTAGTGTTAACAAATTTTTACTGTAGCAGACAATCCAGCTATGCACAGATGTCTATTTAGGATGTATCTGAGAAGATAACAGAGGGACTAGTATTCCTTGTGTTGTCGTGGGGGTTCTGAGGCCCCATTTAGGTGGAGGAAAAAGAACAGATCCACTACTCATTAACAAGCATGTCCTAACAGGCAACTAACTGATGAAACTAAATGTGCTGGGCCAAAAGACGCAGATTACACAGCCTAACTTTCTTCTTTGTTCACTGGCTGTAAGCTATGGTTGTCTGTCCATTTGGACTCTGGCTTTGTGCCTGGTTTTGTGTGTACAGCCATTTTACTGGTTATTTGTGTGAAGCTGGTTTGTTTCTTGCCGCTCAGGCACATGCACTTCCACCTCAATGTAAGCCTCTAGTTAGTCGACTCCTATGACATGCTTGTTGGGAGGCAGTGAGACTATTCTTTTTCCCTGACAATAGGATCCCGGAACTCATATGGAGAACACAGCTTAACTGTAACCTACAACATAACATGCTCACCCCCCTTATAAGAGCGAAGGCAGGAAAAAAAGTACAGCTTGTGTAATAAAGTGCTTACTTGAAGTGATCTTGAATCGAGACATTGAGATCAAATGAATCAGCTCTGTCATGAAATCCAATACCAATGAACGCACTTCTCCCTGTAAAAACATTTGAAATCGTAATAAAAACCAACTTCCTGTGCAGACTCCGGGGCCCAATTTGAAAGGGGAGGGGGGTTGGATGTCGGTCTTTGAGGCAACTCAAGGGGGGGGGGGGGGGGGGGGTAAACTCAGGTACCAGCTCTCTAACAAGGACACACAAGGAAAAGGGTCATTACACACGCTACGGGGATGCCCTGAAGGCTGTGATGTCGGTCTTTAAGGCAACTCAAGTATAAAGCTTGTTCTGGCTTGTCAGGCACCAGCTGGCTACAAGGACACACAAGGAAAGGATTATTAAATAAAGTCTTGATTATGTGGGGGTTTCAGGATTATTGTGTCAGATGATGTTTAGTACCTCTTCTCGATCTTTCCAGTTCAATAGTGTGCAATCTCATTTTGCACGCTAAGGCGGCATTGGACTCACAGTCCATGGCGATGGCGAGTATGACTAGCAAGACCCGCCCCCTATGGCTTTTGCCAAAAAAAAAATAGTCTTCCACAATTATAATGTCAACGGGTTTCAGGGATCATTGGCGATCCTCAGCATTTGTGGCAAGTATGTCACCTTCTGTTTAACGATCAGTGATCTCATGGTGGGGTGCAACCGTTCTGTTTTCATTCTCATTCCCTTCCTGATATGTCCCCTCTACACAACACGGTCTATGGCATGTAATGTGTAAAATAATGTATGAAATAAGGAGTGACCGAGGGACGTGAGTGATGCTCAACTCTCAGGGAAGGAGAGATTTGGACATACTATCAGACTATCCATGGATTTGGAAACTCTTGCTGCTGATGATGGAGAAGCAGTGTTTATGGGAATGTCCTGAGTGCTATAATGTCGGTTCTCAACTCATAACTTATGTGTGGAATAATGTTTTGATAATACAGTAAACCCTTGAATTACAAGGGACCGAAAATCGAGTTCAAGGTAGAAAAAAAAAATGTATGCTAGCCGAGGCCTAATAACAATAAAACATCCTAGCTGGGTTTGTTTATGTTAGCCAAGTGTTCTTCTTAAGTAAGTTCATGTTAACAAAGTTTTACTTTATTCTTCTTTCGCTCGCATGAAATAAATTATCTCTGTCTGCAATGCTGTCTCTAGTATGAAACTTCACTTCACTTTTGTAATTCATTTAGCGGCCGGTAAAGTTTGGCTTCCACCAGTGTCTCTCTTGGCCAGAAGTGTTTGCATGGAAATGCTGTACTTGGAACAGTATTGGAGGATGTCATCTGTTGTCTCAGGTGCCACTCCACATGTGTACATGGCTGATTTGCCAGTCTTAAATTGTGTGTACATGAGGCTGTGAAATCGACTTTGTCCTATTCTTTAAAAAAAAGTAAATAAAGGACCCTTTTCCACGCCATCAGGCGTATAGGGCATATAGGGCTAGACCTATATTTTTATAGACCAATCGACACAAGATGGGTGATGTGGTCAGCATCACGCCGGCCGCCTTTACTTTCCCGGGACTGCACCCGGTACACACTCAAGGCTGGGTCGACTTGGGAGCCAAGGTCATTTTTTTAAAAAGTCCGGCTCCGCCAGGGAGCAAACCCACGACGAACGTCTAGCCGCTCGGCCACGGCGACTCCCGTTCTATTCTAAGGCATAGAAATAATGACTTGCTCTGATCATTTCATAATATGGTAATCATCTTGTGCCGTTTGGGTGGCTTTCTGTTTGATTTGAACAAGGTCTTACTGTAAACCAGATAATGAAATTATATATACAACCGACACTTGAAAAAAAAAAAACTGCTGCTGACAGGAACATAATTTTGTCATTACTGAGACATTCAAAATTATTTTTAATTAAATGAGTGTAATTTTTCAAACTGCAAAATACTGCACAGAATAATACCCCCGTTATTGGGGGAAAACAAGAATAGACCCACTCCAATCATCTGATAGTTTTTCCTTTGAAGTCGGAGTGCATCTGGGAGAGGCAATCTGATTGTATCTAAGGCACACCCAACGCTCAGGTTCTGGAAGTACTGCATAATAAAAACCAGAACTTTCCGCACATATACAAATAAAGATATAATCATCTGTGCTATTTTGTATTAAGCAGACATAAACTTTAAACAGCATCATTTAACTATCGTGCTATTTTGCAAACTTAAAGCATATGACATTAAATAACAAATAAATACAAAAACCGCTGTCATCCTTTATGCGTAACACAAAATAGCGGCTGGAGTCCATTACTGACTCCACTGCTATACCTGGGTACTCGTCCACTGGACATTGTGCAAACAGCTCTCCTGGAATGGGAATCAGCTTTGTCAAAGAAAGGAATCAGATGGGTACTTTCATTTTAGCTCATCCAAACACGGCGAACCCTGGAATCCCCGGGAGTGTCCAATATTATAGGAATGTTACAGTTTGAATAAAACACAAGATGAACCCTAACACCTCTTTAATATTTGACTTTTCCTGGGATTCCCTATGTTTGGGATGAGCTTAAATGAAAGTAGCTGTAACTGTACAGCATTAACAAAGGTGTGCTTTATCGCTAAGGAATAACGGCCATTGTTTTGTAAAGCCACCAAGAACTGTCTAATTTAGGATTTTTATTTCTCAAGTATAGAATAAATGCTAAAAATAAAAACACGCACGTTATGAGACGAGGCAATGCTCACTTTTTGCTGTGGGGTCCTAATGGAGCAGTGATGCCCAATACAAGACTCTTAATGTCTTTTAGCCTCTCTTGCTCAAGCCTACCTCACCTTCACGTGGTGGAAAAGAAAGGCGAACGAAAGAAGAAGACTTCTTGCTGCCAAGGTCGCACCCCTTGCGATTGTAGCTTTGGACGCTCACCGTCATGTTAAAATCGTGATTTTTATGATGAATTTAGTTTAAGCCTTTAGCTTATTCACTTCTGTATGATTAATAAAGGGAAATAACTTTGTGGCGCTTAAGTTTTTTTTTTTTAGTATCCAGAAGCCATGAGTTGTTAACCTTTAGGCTCGGTATTATGGATATCGCAACCCTTCGGCCTTGATTCCATGATAAATACCGTAAATCTGGGAGAAATGTGGCTTTTCTGCCTACCCCCGGGCGTGAATCCGGACCACAAGAAGTTTGTCACCCAGTCACCGTATAGTCTCGTTTAGCCAACTATGCTAGAGAGCCGGTCAATAGTGATTAAGTAAATATTTGAAGAATTTTCTTAGTTAGCTCCCATGTCGGTAAGACTTACTTACTTAGTCGCTCCTCTTCTACCTTGGGGTGTAGAGGTTTGCCAGAGAGATCGCCAGACGTCTCTATCAGCAGTTTTCTTTCTGGCTTTGTTCCATTCCAGTCCTCTGTCAGTCAGGGACTGTCGGATGTTGTCTTCCCAGCGCACCCTGGGTCGTCCCGGAGGTCTGGTTCCCTAGTTCTTAGCCTCCCATGCTTGCCATGGTGGCCGATTTTCTCCCATTCTGCACACATGTCCAAACCATCGTAACTGTGACTGATCCACCCGGGTTAGTAAGGGCTGGGTATCAAGATCTTGACGTATTGTCTGATTGCGGACTTTGTCCCTTCTTGTCACTTGGACCACCTTTCTCAGGTATCTCATTTCCGAGGCCTGCAGCTGGCTTCTGTGAGCTGTTGTCATTGCCCATGACTCACACCCATAGGTCAGGACTGGTACATAGGTAGAGCGGTAAAAGCCATTTTCGTCCTCTTGCCAATTTCTCTTTTGCTAAGAAACCCTCGGTTTATGGCCTGGAAGAGTCTCCCAGCAGCTGCTTTTCGTGTAGCCAGCTCAGTCTTAATGCCTCCATTTTGGTCTAATACAACTCCAAGTTATTTGAACTGGTTAACCTGCTCCAACGCATACTGACCCATCATGATCTGGTGTTTCTTCTCCTCTCTTGAGATCACCATGGTTTTAGTTTTGGAGACACTGATGGTCATCCCTTTCTTTTCAAGCTCTTCCTTCCAGACAAGTAAGTTGGACTGAAGGTGTGCCTCTGATTTAGCTATCAGGGCCACATCGTCTGCAAAAGCCAGCTCTGATATACAGATTGGTCTCATCTTCCAGTACCCTACAGAGTACTTCTTTGTCTTCTCCTTACAGGTCTTGATGACATCATCCATCATAAGAATGAAGAGGTAAGGTGAGAGAATATCACCTTGTCTGACACCGCTGGTGGTCTTAAATTCTTCTGACTTTTGGTCTGCTGTTCTTACATAATTTCTGCACTTTTTGTAGAAACTCTGTATTGCACTGATCAGGGGTGCTGGGATGTTTTTCCCTGCCAAGCAGTCCCAGAGCTTGTTCCAGGGTACCTTGTCAAATGCCTTTTCCAGATCCAAAAAACATAAGTGAATCTCACTCTTATATTCCAGGGCTTTTTCACTCATCTGTCTCAGTGTGAAGATAAGGTCTTGAGTACTTCGGTTTGCTCTGAAGCCGCACTGGGCCTCGTCCAGCTGTGGCTCTACCAGACTTCTAAGTCTCTGCTCAAGAATTCTAGAGTAACTTTTACCGGGAATGCTGAGGAGGGATATGCCTCTGTGGTTTTCACATTGTCTGTTATCACCTTTTTTAAATATAGGTATAATGATGGCAATCTCCCAATCTTTTGGTATAGTTTTGCTACACCAGGCTGCCTGGAGAACCTTCAGTAGAAGGCGCTCACCTTCGACTCCCATATATTTGACCATCTCTGGTGTTATACCATCATGACCTGCTGCTTTTCCCAGCTTAATCTTCTCAATAGCTGCCTTCAATTCTTCCATCCTGATGTTATCTTCCCCATGATTGAATTCCTTCTCAGCAGTGAGGTCCATTATTTCTGGGTCATGACTTCCCTCAGCGCCGAGGAGCTCTGAGAAGTATTCTTTCCATCTTCCCATGATATCATTTGTAGAAGTAAGCAGAGCCCCATGTCGGTAAGACATTGACACAATTTTCATTATGGCGTCAAATTCTCGGAACCATTGTGGTGGTCATGTTTCTCCTGAAGTTTCTGATGAGGCATGTGATTTTCTTGATTTTACTTCAAAAAGTGAATTGGAAGGCACTACTGAACAGTTTGATGGTATGACTATGATAAATATAAAGGATTTTTCACTTGCCTTTTTTTTTTTTTGCAACAATCTACAGCCACATGATGATGATGATGATGATTTCAGACAAAGTAAACCCCATTTATTTCCTTTCAAATGTGTTCTCGGTTCAATTTTGTGCAAAAATACAAAATATGATAAAAGTTTATTGAATACTTTTGAAAATTTGACATCTATATTGTTGTCAGATAAAAGATTTTCAAATGCCTTTTTTTGCAACAATCTAAAAGGTAAAGGTAAAGCCACATCATGATGATGATTATTTCAGACAAAGTAAACCATATTTTTCTTCTTCAGATATGTTCTCGGTTCAATTTTGTGCAAAAATACAAAATATGATAAAATATGATAAAATATGATATGTTTGTTGAATATTTTTTGAAGTTATGACATTTTTATTAGTCTATATTGTTAGATAAAAAGATTTTTCGTTTGCCTTTTTTGCACAAATCTACAACCATATGATGATGATGCAAAACAGTATAAACATTTTTTTTATTTCTTGAAATTTGTTCTTCATTTAATTTGGTGTTAAAATACAAAATATTGTGAGATTATATCAAACAGTTGTGAAGCTGTGGCATTTTGAGTACACACTAAAATATGTGGTATCTGGGGAAATGCAAGAGTTAATGGGCTTGGTAGTTTGTGGGTTAAGCAGAACAAACAAATGTTGTTGTTGTTGTTGTTATCGATCCAGCGGCACATGAACTTTTGCCCTTTGACCCAATGCCATGTAGTGGAATTTGCGTGCTTTCACAAGCTGTTCTTTTCCTCCGTACAAGGGGTTTCTCTTGTCTGGTCCCGGAGGGAGTAGCATTCTTCTAGTCTCGCTGAGTTTTGGGCACTTAAAGAGATTCTGGTCAACAGTTTCGTAGAAGCAGTTACATAGCTGGCACTCTGAGGAGTGTTGTGGCTGTGTTCTGTTTAGATGTCCATTGAGTGGAATGAAACCGGTACCCACTCAAGGCTGGGTCAACATGGGAGCCAAAGTCATTAAAAAAAAATGTCAGGCTCCACCAGGGAGCGAACTCACCACCTTCTGATCTGTGGCAAGCGTCTAACTGCTCCGCCACAGTGACTCACTCCCGTGTTGAAGGTACAGAGTTAAAAAGTTTTATCAACAGGAAAACATTTTGGCAAGGCAATGAAAATTAAATAATAAATAGCCATGAATCAATTTGTTCTAAAATCGTCAAGTGACAGCAAAAACATCTACAAATATTTACAACAATGGATATCAACTGGCAGTAAATCTACTTGCCCGAGGTTTTGTCTTCCAATTTGATAATTAATTCCTTTTCTTTGGACACAACACGCAACCTTCCTGTCCAGTCTGGAGTTTCTAGTTTCCATTCATCTGCCCTGGAAATTAAAAATAACAATTTTTGGAGAAAATGAAAGGGACAGTCAACTGTTTCCTACAGGCTTTTAATGTGCAATTTTTATATTCTCTTTTCTTCTTCTTTGTGTTTCCCGACTGTAAACTCTGGCAGACAGTTCTAATTGCTCATTCCTTCTTGACTTTAGTTTTGTTCCAGAACTTGAATTTTGCATGCACATCTGTTTTACAGAATTGGCTATTTGTTGGCAGAGTAAAACTGTCAAAAAAGATGAGTTAGTATATTTAATGATGACTCTACATGTTGCTAGTGTGGTGTTAACTCTTGAGTTTGCTATATTTACTGATGACTCTACATGTTGCTAGCACAATGTCTGAACTGTGAGTCTGCTATATTTACTGATGACTCTACATGTTGCTAGTGCATGTCTGAGCTGTGAGTCTGCTATATTTACTGATGACTCTACATGTTGCTAGCACAATGTCTGAACTGTGAGTCTGCTATATTTACTGATGACTCTACATGTTGCTAGTGCATGTCTGAACTGTGAGTCTGCTATATTTACTGATGACTCTACATGTTGCTAGTGCATGTCTGAACTGTGAGTCTGCTATATTTACTGATGACTCTACATGTTGCTAGTGCATGTCTGAACTGTGAGTCTGCTATATTTACTGATGACTCTACATGTTGCTAGTGCATGTCTGAACTGTGAGTCTGCTATATTTACTGATGACTCTACATGTTGCTAGCACAATGTCTGAACTGTGAGTCTGCTAAATTAACTGATGACTCTTCAAGTAGCTATTGTAAACTAATAATATCAGATTATTTTGCTACATTTTCCCATGACTTTACGCATTGCTAGTGTGACTGTAAACTACTATAACAGATACCGGCTATCCTCCGAATAACGGGCACAAAATATGGCGACCAAAAACAGGGCCTCAGTCACATGAAAATTGTGAACTTCCGGCGAACTCGCCACCGCCGAGAGTATCCCCCACGCCGCTCACATGGCGGGGCTAAACTAGATGGCTGGGACTCACGAACAAAGCTGCAAGAGATGCGGAAGCTGCTGCTCGTGAGTCCCAGCCATCTAGTTTATCCATGCCGCATGAGGGATACTCTCGGCGGTGGCGGTAGTCGCTGGAAGTTCACAAATTAAGTCGCCGGAAGTGCGCAATTGACACGTGACTGAGGCTCTGTTAGGGAGTTTTTGCGGCCGCCATAATATGTGCCCAGTATTCTGAGGATAGCCCAGATACTTTTAATCAATTTAGCCAAGACTACACGGTTTCAGGGTTCTTGTGAGCCATGGAGAACAGATGATTGGCTACACCAATCGTGATTGTAACTGATTTAGAAAGCATGCTGAGGAAGATCAGAAGAGGTATGCTTCATGCAGAGTGGCATGCTTCGCTGCGGAGGACACGGGTGAGGAGTTTTGTCTGGATTTTTTCACCGGTATGCCTGTGTGTTGGGAAATGAACAGGCAGACAGACTGGCTGGCTCTGCACAACTTGGTGGAATACTGATACATAAGGCAGACGTAGTTAGTGCCTTGTGGGAGAGCGTGTACAGTTCGAGGAACAGATGGATCACCAGTCTGGTGAGATTGATGCAGCGGAGAGTGACGAGAGGTTCTGGCAGATGCTCGAGGTTCAGAGGAAAGGCAAGATGGACATTTAATCAGAATGTAACTGGCACCATTAGTATCGGAACTCTTCGCTGGCTGCTGAAGATGGGGATCGAGTGCTTATGGGAATGCCCCGAGTGCTGTGATGTCGGTTCTTGAATCAAATCAAATCAATGATTGGCTATACAATATCAGATAACTTGGCATTGTATAATGTCTAACTTTTGAAATTAGTCGGAGTCCCTAACAAAAAAGTGATTGAGATTCTGTAACACTTTAGTCAGCGCTGGCACGTCAACAAAAGTGTTGGACTAATCAAGATAAAACAACTATACTTTTGCAACAGCCACTAGAAGGCGTTTGACGATCAGGCTCTCCTTTCAATACAGGACGGTAGCTGGACGGCTTAGTGGGAGTTCTCTCCCTTGGCTGCATTGCAAACAGGGAGCGGAAAAGTCACGAATCAAAGACAGTGAGGCCGACATCAGGGCTGCCAATGAATGCTTGGTTGTGTCCCCCAGATCTTTTTTTTTTTGACGCTGCGGGGAAATCTGGTTTTTTTTTGGGGGGGGGGGGGGGGGGGGGGGGGTTGCCGATCTGTATGCTTTAAAGACCGATAAATTTGCGTGGTTAGGGGTTGGGTTAGGTTTAGGGTTAGGGGTAGGTTTAGCATTAGATGTGACAATTTTGACGCAGGAGTTCCCTATAATTGCGCACAGTCACATACATATGCAAACAGTCGACGGACTGTGGATGCTACTGACACGGACAATTTGCCATCGATTGGGCACCAGCCGCGCGCTATTGCCGTCATATTTGGCAGAATTCCTGTGGCGCCACTCCCACCAGCATCAGATTGTCGGCCAGTATTTGGAACTCCTACGTCAAAATTTTCACATCTAACCCTACCCCTAACCCTACCCCTAACCCTACCCCTAACCCTACGCAACCCTACACGCAACCGTATGATGATGATAGACACCCTACGCAACCCTACACGCAACCGTATGATGATGATAGACACCCTACGCAACCCTACACGCAACCGTATGATAGGTAACCCTACACGCAACCGTATCATGACTACGCAACCCTTCACGCAACCGTATGATGACTACGCAACCCTACACTCAACCGTACGCAACCCTACACCAACCGTATGATGATAGATAACCCTACACGCAACCGTATGATGACTACACAACCCTACACGCAACCGTATGATGACTACGCAACCCTACACGCAACCTACACGCAACCGTACGCAACCCTACACGCAACCGTATGATGATAGGTAACCCTACACGCAACCGTATGATGATAGGTAACCCTACACTCAACCGTATGATGATAGGTAACCCTACACTCAACCGTATGATGATAGGTAACCCTACACTCAACCGTATGATGATAGGTAACCCTACACGCAACCGTATGATGATAGGTAACCCTACACGCAACCGTATGATGATAGGTAACCCTACACTCAACCGTATGATGATAGGTAACCCTACACTCAACCGTATGATGATAGGTAACCCTACACTCAACCGTATGATGATAGGTAACCCTACACTCAACCGTATGATGATAGGTAACCCTACACGCAACCGTATGATGATAGGTAACCCTACACGCAACCGTATGATGATAGGTAACCCTACACGCAACCGTATGATGACTACGCAACCCTACACTCAACCGTATGATGATAGGCAACCCTACACGCAACCGTATGATGATAGGCAACCCTACACTCAACCGTATGATGATAGGCAACCCTACACGCAACCGTATGATGATAGGTAACCCTACACGCAACCGTATCATGACTACGCAACCCTACACGCAACCGTATGATGACTACGCAATCCTACACGCAACCGTACGCAACACTACACGCAACCGTACGCAACACTACACGCAACCGTATGATGATAGGTAACCCTACACGCAACCGTATGATGACTACGCAATCCTACACTCAATCGTACGCAACCCTACACGCAACCGTATGATGATAGGCAACCCTACACGCAACCGTATGATGACTACGCAATCCTACACGAAACCGTATGATGACTACGCAACCCTACACGCAACCGTACGCAACCCTAAACGCAAACGTATGATGATAGGTAAGTATGTCATTTGATTCGTGACGTTTCCGCTCCCTGTTTGCAATGCGGCCAAGGGAGAAAACTCCCACTAAGCCGTCCAGCTACCGTCCGGTATTGAAAGGAGAGCCGACGATAAGACTCATTATTCCCGCTCACATTTGTTTCACAGTTTCTCTATTTATCTTTAAATTATACAGATGTCAATAAAATGTTAAAATTAATCCCCGATGTACATGTTAATGTTAAATGCGAATGTTCTGTGGATCACGACTTGAATCCCTAGCAGACAATTCTATTTATAATTGAATTCATGACCAAATAATAAATTTTACGCCATCCCATCTTCCCGCAGATGGTCAAATATTAAAATATAGGCCGAAATTAATCAACAATAACTCTCTAGCAATGCCCAAACTCTACATAGTATCCAGTAAATTACCTGTAACCCCTATTAGAGGGTCTAGGTGGGATTTTATAGACTTGAACTTCGTTCTTGACACACAAGACTCTCTCGTAGGCGGTGTCTGCCATGTTGATTAGCAAGGCCAGGTTTCTCTCTTCTCTCGGCCATTTCAACAAACAGCAAAATACTCGCAAAATACTCCCGTCTTTCTTGTTTAAAGAATTGCTCTTTATTAATTTATTTGTCTTACACAGCGTTGACGTTATTTGTGTTACAACAATACGTTTGTATTATTTTTATTAAATAATAAATTAAATTTGCTATTTTGTTATTCTGTAAAAATATTTTGCAAATTACTTATATGAAGTGTAATAACACGTATATACACATTGAAGTGTACATTTTTTAATTTTCATACCAGTTTATAAATTTGTATACATATTTCTTCTCGGTATGTGTGTATATGTTGTGAAGAAGCGTGATCGCCAACCCCTGTTACTTTGAGTAGCTTAAACTGGATGTTATCTTTGTAAACTTCTATACCTATGGTTACATAACCAATAAGCCACATTGTAGTGATGGTTGATAATGAGATGCCGCAACACCCGATTTCACCACTGCTGCTCCGTGATGCGGCGGCAATGTGAGATACAGGGGAAGTTTTCTCTCTTTTTTCATCACGGACAAAATTAAAGTACTCTATTATTTAACTGTTGACAACTTTCCGTCTTTCTAGACGATAGTGTTATCTGGGAAGGCATGGCGATGGTGAGTGTGTCTATCAAGACCGGCCCGCGTTAAGGAAAGTTTTCCACAGTTAGAGCATGCTGTTTTAGGGCCGTTGTTGCCATCATGTGTATTTACTACTGTTTAGTGTGTTTCTTTTCAGGCGTCTAGCTCTCGTTTTTTCTACAATCATTCCTTACTTCATGCTTATCCGCCTCCATGCAACACGGTTCATGGCATTTTGTTCCCACGAATCTACCTCAAAATTTGAATAAATTATGTGCCGCTTGCACACGTCTTTATATCATAACAGAGGCCGGCTTCGACATCCTCTATAAATCTGTAATTCGCCATAGAGGATGTTCTAAGAGAATTTCATCATCACCCAGTAACACTGCGTGTCGTTGGGGTACGAGTTGCTGTTGACTGATCAGCTCCCTCAGCCTTTGACGACCAGATGCGATGGAATTATGGTTTTAACTCTTTGAGTCCTAGAGGGTTTAGCATCAGAGGCCCAAGGGGTAGTCAAAAGAGATGTAAAATCGGCGCATCTTGCGTTTATTGGGCCTCTAGGTAGGAATCTATGAACGTATGATGCGTTTTTTTTTTTGGGGGGGGGGGGAGGGGGGGGGACTCAAAGAGTTAAGGCCTGTCCAGTCACTCGAGTTCTGTATCCAGGTCTTTCTTGGTCTGCCTCTTCTCCTCTCTCCTCTAGTGAGTCATGCAGTATTGTCTCTGAGAGGCCGTTAGATCTGATTACGTGTCGGTACGATTACATTTTCCTCCTTTTCACTGTAGGGACTTTACCATCCTCTGTTCTCCAGGTATGCACCAGCCACCAGAGCCAATAATTTTGAACAGATGTAGTGAAAGCAAAAACTGACATTGAGTTGGATAGCTGAAGGAACAATTGTTACATTAAACGCAATGGACAACAGCTTTCGTTAAAGACGCTTACAGTGCAGTCCATTATGACCATTCACGCCTAAATGTAACTAAAAAACACCAAAAGGCAATAGAAGAGCCATTTCCGAGAAAAACGCACAGTTGCAGAGAGAAACAGGCGATCGATGCTGTCCTTAAAAAAATGTAAACTGGCTAGCGAAATAAACATTTCTGACGTAATGTGCATACATAAAAAAATGGGGACCACCAAGGAAGTAGAAACATATAATAAACAAAAAATGTATCAATGAAAACTCACTGAGAGAATGAGAAAAATAGAAGGACATACCAGACAACATAACAATCGACAGCTATAGTTACCATGGCAGGAATCGAACCTGTCACCTCCAAAATGGAGAGAGGATCTCGCTCCAGAAAAACAATCCTGCTAACACGCATGACCAACTAAGGTTAGTTGCGTATCCTTTACAGGATGTTGCAGAACCAACCCCATCAGCCCCTGGTGGTTGTGTGGTTTCTCTAGGCAAATTTACGTCCAGTAGTTTGCCATTCGCTGTGGACGGTCGGCCCGCTGATACCACTGTCGAAACCAACGCAAGGCGCATGGCCCGCAACTGTGATCGAACCCGACAACCCGGCATTACGAAGCGTTCGCATCGACTTAGCCACAGATCCGACATGACCAATTAAGCATATCTTTTAAAAAAAGTGTGTCTTTACTAGCCATGTCTTTTGTACAGCCATAGAATACGTGCAGATTTGATCTCAGACCACATGTTACAGAAATATGTATTAACCAAGTATAGGTCGAATAACATACACAACAACAATATAAATACACCGAACCGTAAAGCAGTGAAGCAGTGTCTAGAACAAAATTAACATTGAATAAATTTGATTAGTGAGGACTATCACCGCAGCACTCCGGACAGATCTTCTCCTCAGTAGCCCTACAAGAGCATAACAACTGATCGTGTCCGTTCTGTATTGATGAAATGTCTTGTGCCCTTAGCGAAATATTCATGTCTGGATGCTCCAAGCTGCGCTCCCATGTCAACCGACTTGAACAAGGAAACGGAATCCTGCTTATGGCGATCTTTTTCTTCGCGATATGCATCTCGCATGAAATTAATAACATCACTCCTGTCTAGTGCCGGACTGGTCGTGGTAACCGAACTGTCCACCAGACACTCTGCACACTGATTGCCTTGAACACCCACATAGCTCGACACAAAGATAAAGGTTAGGCGAGGTATTCGTGATGCATTTAACGAGAGAATCCATTCTGGTCCGATAAAGACGGTATGGATTTTCTTGAGCATATTCATTAAATCGCTAAATTGCCCCGAATGCATGCATGCTTGAATTCTTGAGTACCCAGCCATGATCTCCATTGTGAGGTATCTGCAGCTCTCCTGTGACTAGAGAACAAGATACATACACATGTCGTAATTGTAACAGACACTGAAAGCATGCTGGAAAAGGTGAAGACAGGGGTGCTTCAAGCAGAGTGGCAAGCTTCACTGGAAAGGTCACGGGAAGTGAGCATACTTTGGATCTTTTCTACATGCCTTGTCGGTATGGTGGGTAATGAATAGGCAGACAGATTAGCTAGATCTGCACCTCTGGGTAGTGAACTGATACATGACAAGGCAGATGTGGTCAAGGCCTTTTGGGAACAAGCAACGGAATCAGTAGAGATCATTCATTTCGTAAAATTTTTGAATTCAGCGATTCACGGGATTAATTTCTGTGGTTTAGGCATGAGTGAAAAAGTCGTAGAATGTAAGAGTGAAGTGTACTTATGTTTCCTGGATCTAAAAAAGCCATTTGGTAATGTTTCCCTGAGCAAACTCTGGGACTGCTTGGCAGGAAAGTACATTCCAACACCCCTGATCAATGCAACACAGTTTCTACACAAACTGCAAAAATTATATAAGAACAGGAAACTAAACGTCAGAAAAATGTAAGACCACAAGTGGTGTTAGGGAGATATCCTGTCACCTTACCTCTTCCTCTTTATCCCGTGTGGGTTCCGGGACCCCATTATAGGGAAAACAAGAGACCCACTGCCTACCCAAAAGCATGTCGTAAGAGTCGACTAATTGGGAGCTTCCTTCGAAGTCGGAGTGCATCTGCCTGAGAGGCAAGGAACCAACAGTCTGCACACAAATGTTTCAGAACTGTCAAACGGATACACACGCAAAACATAGGTTTTGGAACAGGACTGCAGTCCAGAAGTTGACGAGCAACCAAAACCTTCCACTAGAGTTTACAGCTGGTGAACGCGAAGAAGAAGAAGAAGAAGTAGAGATTGAAGATTTTTCTGGCCAGGAGAGATTGAGGCATTTAGGTGTAACCAGGCGGTCTTGCCGGTTTAACACGCTCAGAGAAAAGGCAAGACGACATACAACCAGACTGTGACCGGTACCATCAGTTTTGGAACTCTAAGCTGGTTGCTGAAGGTGAGGACAAAGCATACATGGGATTGCCCCGAGTGCTTTGATGTCAATTCTCACGAAACGATATAAACCCGAACGAAAAGTATATTAACAAGCTTCGCAATATAACAAATACAAATAAAACGTGAACGTTGCGGCTATTGAGCCTTCGTCAGCACACACAAAATAAAAAATACTACATAGATACAAAAAATCACTTAGCTGGTATCACGATGCGGCCAGGTCGGTTGTTTCAGCAGAATGACCGCACGTGCGGATAGCTGGGGGAATAAATACCCCCCTGTGGAGTATCAGGGGCCATAACTTGGGTGTATGGGTTGAAACTGTGAGGGCAGTTCAATCCCCTGGAAGTTAAATGAAACTGTGTTGGCAATTCATTCGGAGGGCGTCAGAGTCCCCAGAGTATAAATAAAGCGATTCTCAAGAGACTTGCGGACTCTGTCGCTGGAATGATCGGATTTAATGGTTGTCACCTCCATGTCGTGGACACCTTGGTGATCCTGGGAATTGAAGTGCAACGGTACTGGTTTCAGGACACCATTTTGCACATCCAAAAGATGTTGTCTGAACCTGTCAGCCAGCCGTAGACCTGTTTCACCAATGTATTTCATGCCACATCTCTTGCAGTTGATGGCATAAATGACACTGCGGCTAGTACAATAGAATGCTTCACGTATGTGGAAGGTGGCGTTAGGGAATTCTAGACTGGCCACCTGTACCACATATGGACAGGCTCTGCATACAGGTCTATGGCAAGAGACCGTGCCGAAGTGGGGCTCAGACGCGGGGCGTAACTTACTCTTGACTAGAATGTCCTTGAGCTTACGATCATGCCTGTAGGCCACTAGAGGGGGTTCAGAGAAAATCCTGCTGGTGGCAGGGTCGGCTTTAAGGATGGATAGATGCCTAAGGAAAATATTCTTGGCGCGGATGTTGTGAGGGTGGTAGGTAAGTGTCTCGACTCAACTCTGTTCTGCCGGAAGTTAACAAAAACAGCGTTCGGACCAGCATCCGGAGCCATAATTAGCAGAGACTGTTGAACCAGAAACCGGACAAGACTATCTGGGGGGAAATATTTACTGTTTCGTTGGGACCAGACCTGTGTTTTGTTCTCACTGTCGAGCTAGTGCAATAGTTAGTGCCTGGTGATTGCTGATTTTGTCAGTTTAAAGGGAAAAGAGAGGTAACTCCATTGTGATATGATATTTGAACCAATGTCGAATGGTGGGGGGTAAACTGTCTGTCCGAGGTCTTCTTATGTTTGAACTTTGTAAAGACAGGAAAGTTCTTGAAGTTGTCTGGTCATGGATTGTCCACTCACCTTTAACTTTTCTCAGCATCTCTTCTTGGCCAGGAATTAATCCGTGTTACACATCGTCCATGTATGTTTGCTTGTGTGACCTAGCACATCCTTATTTTCTCATCTAGTTACTTTAGTCAAATTTTTAAAATGCCCTTTACAATAATAAAACCAGCACAGTTAGATAGCTGTAAACAATCTCTTTCCAATGGTACCTCATTTAGGCTTGTATGTCATTTCTGAGCTGAGACATGTAGGTTTTTGTGGAGATGAGATGTAAAAAACAGCTGCTAAAACTTGTCTCCCAGAAACAAGAAGTTTTCTCTGCGCAACCAAACTGCGCAACTTTCGTTTTGGCTTTGTTTACATTGGACTGTCATTGGACAAGATGGCAGCCAATGACGAATGAGACACAGCCACATAATAGCGATTGCCTGAAAAAATGTCACTGTAAATCTAAACAGCCACGGACAAGAAAGAAATTTTATACACGAATGTAAAATTGGACGGAGAATTCAATTATAACTAGCATTACCATGTCTGGTAATGTTTAAGGCCAAAGCCAACCTTGAATACTTTACCGCTATTTTCAATCAAACTGATGTAACAGAAAAACAGAGGACGTCCGGCTGTCGTAGACATGCGCTGTTAATCGGGTTCCTTCCCGCTATTTTCAGCTATTTAGAGTGGGTGAAAATCACACCAATCGCAAAATTTCATGAGAGATTAGGACCCATCCCGAAACCCCAGCCGACATTTCCGAAGTAAGTTTCGAACGGTTTCCGTTGTAACGAAAATTGCCAAAAGATCGCAAATTTCCGGACACCGTAGTCGCTACTCATACCACACAGTTCTTTTTTGTGTGTGCATTAACCGGCTGTAAACTCCAGGTACTTATCTGGACTTGAGTTTTGCATGCACTTCTATTTTACAGATCTGGCTTATTTCAGATATTTATATGCAGACTTCTGGTTCTTGCCTCTCAGGCAGATGAACTCCGTTTCAAAGAAATTAATAATTTTAATGATATTTATCAGAAATAATACAGTTAGTAATATAGTGGTATCTTGGAATTCAAACATAATCCCTTCTGAGAGGACGATCAAATTCCAAATAGTTAGTTGAGTTCCAAGGTGGTTTTTATTCTATTACAAATAATGGCTGCATAAAAATAGGGCTCCAGGGCCCTAATATAGGCAAACAAGAATAAGCCCACTTCCTACCCAATGTCATAAGAGTGGACTAATCATTGGAAGCTTCCTTCGAAGTCAGAGTGCATCTGCTTGAGAGGCAAGGAATCAACAGTCTGCACATGAATGATTCAGATCTGTCAAACGGATGCCCATGCAACACCCAGGTTCTGAATAGGACAGCTGTATTGAAGTGGACGAACAAACAGAACTTTCCGCCAGAGTTTACAGCTGGTGAACACGAAGAAAAAGAAGAAGAAGAAGAAGAATGGAAACTAAATTAACATGTTTCAGTGTCCAGTAAAGTAAAGGACCATTGTCCCTGCCTTCAGGCAAATAGAGCTAGACATATATTATATAGAACAATCAGCACTCTGTGGGTGATATGGTCAGCATCTTGCTGACTGCCTTTACTTCCCAGAACTTTACCTAGTACCCACTTAAGACTTGGTCGACCTGGAAGCCAAGGTCATTAAAAATGTCCAGCTGTGTTTAGATTTAAACCCCTGGCCCTTATATCCATAGGTGAATGTCTAGCCTTTACACCATGGCGGCTCCAGGGTTAAACAGACACATTAAAAAATTTAGTTTCCTAACTACAGTATACTTTAAATATATTAACAAATGATCATATTAGAATTTTAAAAAAAATCTTTAAACAAATTAAAAAAAAGAAAATTGCATTTACTGTAAGGTAAAGGACCTTTTCCACACCTTTAGGCGTATTGGGCATATAGGGCTAGACCTATATTTCATAGACCAATCGGCACTTGGTGGGTGATGTGGTCAACATCTCGCTGGCTACCTTTACCTCCCAGGACTCCATTTGGTACCCAATTTAAGGCTGGGTCGACTTGGGATCCAAGGTCATTTTTGAAAAAATGTCCAGTACCATCAGGGACCGAACCCATGACTTTCTGATCTGCAGGCTAGTGTCTGGCCGCTACGCCACAGCGGTTTCCATTGTATTTACTGCACCAAGATTAAAATGATGGTGACACCACACACATAGAAGTAGGTTGATTTTGGGAGATTATTATTATTTGATAGGTGAGTTGTCTGTCATGATAACATCAGGAATCCTTTCTTGTATTTTATATCATAGTTGTTCACCACTTGTAGAGGGTTTGGGGTCACTAGTTTTGGCTAGGGTTTGGGGTCACTAGTTTTGGCTATCTTCCGAATAACGGCCCCAAATTATCGAGGCAGAAAATATACCCTAACAGGGCCTCAGTCACGTGTCGATTGCGCACCTCTGGCGACTTAAATTGCGTGCTTCCGTCACCGCCGAGAGTATCGCGTGAGTGGCGTGGATCGGGGCTAAACTAGATGGCTGAGACTCACAAGCAGTAGCTACCGCATTTCCTGCAGCTGCTTTGATTTTATTTGCTTGTGAGTCCCAGCCATCTAGTTTAGCCCCAATCCACTCCGCATGAGCGGCGTGGGGGATACTCTTGCCGGTGGCGGTATAGTCCCCAGGAAGTTTGCACTTCGGCGGTGGTGATATAGTCCCCGGAAGTGCGCAATTGACACGTGACTGAGGCCCTGTTAGGGTATATTTTCTGCCTTAATAATTTGGAACCGTTTTTCGGAAGATAGCCCTAGTTTTTATTGAGAGCCAGCATTCCAAAGTGTTCAGATATTGGAGATAATTTTTAAATCTTCTAAACTATTCGATAATGTTGTTATTCTTCTTCTTGTGTTCTCAACAACTTCTTGGGTTTTTGACCATGTGGCCAAAAGATCTTGGATTTCAACAGTGCTAATATTTTCACGGAAATGTACATTGAGGAAAGGATTTGAACACTGGTAGACTGAATGGTTCAGTGTCTGCTAACTGTATAGTAATGACTTATTCTTGTTCCATAACTTGAGTTTTGCATGCATTACTGGCCTGGCATTTTGTGTGCAGACTGTTGGTTCCTTAATTTTCACGCAGATACAGCCCAACTTTGAAGTAAGCCCCTCTGATTAAGCTGACTTTTACGACAGGCATGTTAGTTAGGCATTGGGTTTATTCTCTTAACCACCGCCTCTCCACAGTGAGGCCTCTGAACCCACACAGGGATACAGATGTTTTAACTTCTGTTGTTCTTTTGTTTTTTCAGGCCGATGGCATACTAGAAGGATGGCCTAAGAACATGATACTCCTGATATGTTCACGGTCGACCTCACATGATTGGTTTACACCTTTCCTTTTCACATAAATCCAACACTTGGAGTTTCAGTTGTTGGTGAAACAGATCTGTGAAGGCATATTTTGCTGAATTCAGACTCCAGGATGGCAGGGCTGACAGTGCAAGAGGTACGGCAGTTGAAGGAGAGAGTTCATTCAGCAGCCAAAGGGGGGATGGCTATAAGTATATTTGCTTTACTGTGGAATATGGACAAACCTTTAGTGAAAGAAATCCTGGACCACTTGACGGAGTGTGAAGGGCAGAAGACAACTCCTCTCGTGATTGCAGCAATGTTGGGTCATACAAAAGTTGTCCAGGTTTTGTTGAGTAATTTTGACGTGGATGTGGAGCAGAGGTCAACTGTTCGGTTTGATGGATACGTGATTCAAGACGCCACTGCCCTGTGGTGTGCCTCTGGAGCTGGGCATATGCCCATCGTGGAGCTGCTGATCAAAAATGGAGCCAATGTGAACAATGCCACCGCGACCAATTCCACGCCTTTGAGGGCTGCATGTTTTGATGGACGTTTGGACATTGTAAAGTTTCTCATTGAGCACGGGGCTGACCTGACCATCCCGAACAAGTACGATAACACGTGTCTGATGATCTCTTGCTACAAGGGCCACACCAAGGTAGTGAGGCATTTGCTGGAGAAAGGAGCTGATCCTGACCTCAAGGCACACTGCGGGGCCACATCCATCCACTTTGCCTCTGAGTGTGGCCACCTTGAGGTTGTCAAGGAGCTGGTACATTTTGGAGCTTCTATGCTGAAGAACGATTTAGGCATGACCCCATTGATGGTTGCAGCTGAGTCTGGGAAGGAAGGGATTGTCCATTACTTCATGAAACAGCCGGAATGTACAAGATTAAACAAGATTGAAGCTCTGGAGCTGCTAGGGTCCTCATTCGCTAACGACAAAGAAAACTATGATCTGAACAAAGCTTATCATTACCTCAAGTCTGCAATGGCTCTAAGAATCCATGATGATCACGGTCGACGGCCGTCTAAAAGTGAATTTATCCCCAAACCATTCTTTACCCCGGTTCCAGCATACGGAAATCATGTTGAGTGTCAGACTTTGCAAGAGCTGGAACTCATACGTCAAAACAGAGATGCATTTCATATGGAGGCACTTACAATAAGGGAAAGAATCTTAGGATCTAACAATCCCGAGATTCCTCATCCAGTAATATTCCGAGGAGCTGTGTTTGCAGACAATGGGAGATTTGACCGATGCATTGCATTATGGATGCATGCCATGATCTTAAGACAGACAAACAGTAGATCTATCAACAAAGATCTTCTGCGATTTTCACAAGTATTCTCACAGATGGTGGTTTTGGGTGCGGAGCTGGTCTACGCTGACGTGGAGCAGGTCTTGAAGTTTGGTATTGTTGGAGCTGGAACTGTTCCTGAATTCTTCCAGTACAGAGTCGGTTTGTGAGTCGAAGTGTACGGCCACTGAACTTTATCAGTCAAATATACTCTCCGTGATGTACCTGATTACAATTGCCAGGAAGGTTGCAGCAGATGACAGAGATGTCAAGGCGTTGCACAAACTTGTTTATAGATTTCTCAAACTTAGACCCAGTCTGAAGAACGGGTATTCTCCCCTGCACATTATTCTAGATCCAGGAATCTGCGTTGACGATTTTCATGTTAACAGTATCGTTGTTTTTCCTTGTAAACTCCTTGCTAGCATGTTCTTGGACTGCGGAGCAGAAGTAGATGCCCTGGACTCCTCCAGAAACACACCACTGCACATTATCACCAATGCAAAACTTAACGAATCCCAGGAAAACACTCGGCAGGAAGTAATCAAGATGCTTTTAAGTTACGGAGCACATTGTGACGTGGCCAATAGCAAATTCCAGACGCCATTTCATTTGTCATCTGGCTGCACGTTGAACACCCTTATCCAGTACAGCAATGTCTCGCTGAAGTGTCTAGCTTCACGCTGCATTAAGAGAAACAAAATTTTGTATCAGACGCTTATACCTAAATGCCTGGAAGCCTTTGTTGATCTGCATTGATGTTTGGATAACATTGTTAACAGAAGTTGACCGGACTTATTTGTTTAGGGTCTGTATGGGGACTTTGTTTAAGGTCTGTATAAGGACCTGCTTATTTAGGGTCTGTATGGGGACTTTGTTTAGGGTCTCTATGGGGACCTGCTTGTTTAGGATCTATATGGTGACTAGCTTGTTTAGGGTCTGTATGGGGACTTGATTGTTTAGGGTCTGAATGGGGACTTTGTTTAGGGTCTCTATGGGGACTTGCTTGTTTAGGGTCTGTATGGGGACTTGATTGTTTAGGGTCTGAATGGGGACTTTGTTTAGGGTCTGTATGGGGACTTCATTGTTTAGGGTCTGTATGGGGACTTTGTTTAAGGTCTGTATAAGGACCTGCTTATTTAGGGTCTGTATGGGGACTTTGTTTAGGGTCTCTATGGGGACTTGCTTGTTTAGGATCTATATGGTGACTAGCTTGTTTAGGGTCTGAATGGGGACTTGATTGTTTAGGGTCTGAATGGGGACTTTGTTTAGGGTCTCTATGGGGACTTGCTTGTTTAGGGTCTGTATGGGGGTCTGTACTGCTTGTGATTGTTTAGGGTCTGTATGGGGACCTCTGAAGGGTCTGTATGGGACTTTGTTTAGGGTCTGTATGGGGACTTCATTGTTTAGGGTCTGTATGGGGACTTTGTTTAAGGTCTGTATAAGGACCTGCTTATTTAGGGTCTGTATGGGGACTTTGTTTAGGGTCTCTATGGGGACTTGCTTGTTTAGGATCTATATGGTGACTAGCTTGTTTAGGGTATGTATGGGGACTTGATTGTTTAGGGTCTGAATGGGGACTTTGTTTAGGGTCTGAATGGGGACCTGCTTGTTTAGGGTCTGTATGGGGACTTGATTGTTTAGGGTCTGAATGGGGACTTTGTTTAGGGTCTGAATGGGGACTTTGTTTAAGGTCTGTATGGGTTCTTGCTTGTTTAGGGTCTGTATGGGGACTTGCTTGTTTAAGGTCTGTATGGAGACCTGCTTGTTTCGAGTCTTTATGGGGACTTTGTTTAGGGTCTGTAACCCATTGGCCTCCAACAAGTATGTTGTACAAGGCTTCTAATTAGGTGTGATTTTTCTTCCAAGTCGAAGTGCATCTGCCCAAGAAGCAAGGAACCAACAGTCTGCACATAAACCAGATCTGTACACAAAGCTGAACTCCTGAAGCATGAACAAAGAGTCGATGAACAACCGGGACTTTCTACCAGAGTTGACTGTCAGTGAACGCTCGGAAGAAGAAGAGGATGAAAAGCATCAGGTTATCTGTGTCTGTCTCAGGTCTACAGGCTACTTCCTTGGGATCCCTGGAGGGTGCTGCTCATAATCAGTGCAAGGCTGAGTATACAGATGTGTGGTTTAAGTTAATTCACCGGATCAGCATCTTGGCACATGGGTGTAACCCATAAGTACAGTGAACGAACTTCGTAGCACCGGTGAGGATCCTGAAATACTTTGGGTAGATTTTTAACTCACAATTTTGCACCGGCAGCCCCATTAGGCTACTCTTTTTCGGTTTCCAACTGCCAAGGGATTAAAAAAAAAATCTGCACAGCAATACACACGGGCATCGGATCTTACTACCCAGAGACCAGGGAAAATTATTAGACGCACACGTGAAAAAAAAATCCCAGCCTTCGCTGGGGCTTGAACCTGGGACCTCTAGCACTAGAGGCGGACACCATGCCCCCCTCCCTCCCCCTGTAAAATTGGTGACGGCAAGGAAGAGAATTGGAATGCTTTTTTAATATATTTTTTTGTGTTTAAAAAAGTAAGAACAAATGAAAATTAAGTAGTGTTAAACAAATACATACTTTTTAAAATGTAAACAGTCAGAACAAATTAAAATTAAATTCAGTGTTGAAATGCATACCAAAAAAAAAATGCTGAATGTTGGTAAGACAAAGGTTGGAAAATTGGGATATGTGTTGCAATTTCATCGAAAGGTTAGCAAATTTGCAGGTTAATTGTATAATTATTTTTTAAATAGTACACCTGTGGAGACATCTACGAGTTCATGTCCTGTCTAGGAGTTCATGTCTTGTCTAGGAGTTCATGTCCTGTCTAGGAGTTCATGTCCTGTCTAGGAGTTCATGTCCTGTCTAGGAGTTCATGTCCTGTCTAGGAGTTTATGTCCTGTCTAGGAGTTCATGTCCTGTCTGTGAGTTTATGTCCTGTCTAGTTCATGTCTTGTCTAGGAATTCCTGTCCTCTCTACAACTGACAGTCAAGTGTAACAGTTCAAGCACACAGTGTCCTGTGAATACTTACAATAATACGGAAGTAAAGTTGGACAAGCACGTGATGCCATAGGTGAGCCCAGTAACACTGTGTGTCGACTCTGCTTTTATGGAAGCTTTCTTGTGTAGTGAGGAATGCACATATTCTGCCTCTGTCTTTCCTTGAGGACCATATGGACTTTCTGTTTGATTTTCCTTATGTGTTGTTTAAGTTGTCATTTCTTTAAGGCTGTGCTTAAGCCATAATTCCATATTTTGTGTAGTCTTCCCCGTGATCTTTGTTCATTTTATTTCTTGAGTATGACTGCCTGTGGCACTTGGTACACTGTCGTCTTTTGTCAGTGGTTTTCAAATAAGAACGCCACAGTCCTATGTGAAGTCTGTGTTGTGATATGTCTCCATGTCTCCCATTGTTCCATGCAGTTTGGTTTCCATTGCAGTGCCAACTGGAATGCCTCACAGCGTCTGGGCAGGAAAAGATCTCTGGAACGGGCCCTTCTGGTCACTTTTTATAAAGTACTATTCAGTGTCTCTGATATTTCTGCGGTCCATATTCTGCGTGGTTGACCTCAGGCTATGTTACCGCTGCTCTCTTTGGTGCCTTGTGTAATGCCAATCTTGTTTCATAGTCAAACAATTTGGTTTCCTGTCTACCTATGCCAACTCTCCTCTTGAAATCATCTTTTGAAGTCAATCTTTCCTGGTTCTACACCTATCTTCTTCTTCTTCTTTGCGTTCACCAGCTGTAAAACTCTGGTAGAAAGTTCTGGTTGTCTGTCCACTTCTGGACTGCAGTCCTGTTCCAGAACCTGAGTGTTGCGTGTGCATCCATGTGACAGATCTGATGCATTTGTGTGCAGACTGTTGGTTCCTTGCCTCTGAGGCAGATGCACTCCGACTTCGAAGGAAGCTCCCAATTAGTCGACTCTTACGACATGCTTTTGGGTAGGCAGTGGGTCTATTCTTGTTTTCCCTATAATAGGGCCCTGGAACCCGCACAGGGGTACACCTCACATAGTACGTAAACATTTCATTTCTGTTGTGACTATTCTCCTTCTGAATTCTGAAAACTGTCAATATTTGACATTGATAGTACACCTGTATAGCGTTGATGAGAATATTGTTTTGAACAGTGTTCTTTTAGTGTTCATATTCACATGCTTGCATTTCCAAATTGGTCCTATTTGGCTTAAAACTTGATTGGGTTTACTGCATCTTTGTAGGATTTATTTATTAATTCTTCCATCTTGTGAGGAAGAAAACAGTATTGTGGTTAGACAGCAAGAGACGGACTAGATGAAACTTTCATGAAGACAACATAAAGATTTAGGATAGAGGTGTTGGAATGTTTGTTTGTTTGTTTGTTTGTTTAGCATTCACTGGCTGTAAATTCCGGTGGAAAGTCCAGGTTGTTCATCCACTTCTGGATTTGGTGGCTTTGTTTTAGAATCTAATTTTTTTTAATGCATCCATTTTACAGATCTAGCTTATTTGTATGCAGACTGTTGGTTCCTTGCCTCAGAGGAAACACCCCAAATTAGCCGCCTCCTATGACATGCTTGTTGGGATGAGTAAGTCTGTCCTTTTCCCTCCAAAATGGATCCCCTGATCCCCGTTCTGCTATCCTGTTGTGGGGAAGACAAGAACAGACCCACTGCCTACCCAAAAGCATGTCATAAGAGTCGACTAATTGGGAGCTTCCTTCGAAGTCGGATTGCATCTACCTGAGAGGCAAGGAACCGGCAGTCTGCATAAAATGAGTCAGATCTGTAAAACGGATTCACACTTAACACTCAGGTTCTGGAACATGACTGCAGTGCAAAAGTGGATGAGCAGCCAGAACTTTCCGCCAGAGTTTACAGCTGGGGAACACGAAGAAGAAGAAGAAGACACAAGGATTGTTTGAATATCATTTTAGCCGCCCTTCAGTGTGGAGAAGGCACATGATGGTGATTACAATTGTAGGCAAAGACTTGGAGTCAGTGATGCATTGAGTTTTGGTTTTAATTTATGAAAGGGATAAATGGAAATGATTTTCTTTGTTGAGTTTTTACAAGCTGTGACATGCCAAATAAGAGTTGTTAGTTTTTAATAAATTTATTGAAATGTACATTTTTTAAATTTATTTTCTTCATGCTATACATTTGTTCATTACACTTCCAGTTTTGTCTTTATAAACATTGTGATATTACTTCTGTCTGAATGTCTATTGATTCTTTGTCTGGCTTTCTCTTTATAAAAATGTCTGGGTGATTATGTCTGTCTGTCTGTTCTGCCTCTAGTTATCTAGCTATCTGTCTGTTCTGCCTCTAGTTATCTAGCCATCTGTCTCTCTGTCTGATCTGCCTCTAGTTATCTAGCTATCTGTCTCTCTGTCTGTTCTGCCTCTAGTTATCTAGCTATCTGTCTCTCTGTCTGTTCTGCCTCTAGTTATCTAGCTATCTGTCTCTCTGTCTGTTCTGCCTCTAGTTATCTAGCTATCTGTCTCTCTGTCTGTTCTGCCTCTAGTTATCTAGCTATCTGTCTCTCTGTCTGTTCTGCCTCTAGTTATCTAGCCATCTGTCTCTCTGTCTGTTCTGCCTGTAGTTATCTAGCCATCTATCTCTCTGTCTGTTCTGCCTCTAGTTATCTAGCCATCTGTCTCTCTGTCTGTTCTGCCTCTAGTTATCTAGCCATCTGTCTGTCTGTCTGTTCTGCCTCTAGTTATCTAGCCATCTGTCTGTCTGTCTATTCTGCCTCT